ACAGCTTGCTAAGGGCCCTGTCCTTCATCTTCAGTCTGTAGAACATAGCACGTAGTAGCCATCTGTTATGGAAAAGCTGCGGTGTACCAAGCCCCGTTCTTCATCGCAACAAAGCAGTGAATTAAAAGAGAAGCTAAAAGAGGGCTAATAGCTTATCCAGAGCCACACAGTGGAGGTGGGAATTCTGAGTCAGGATGGTCTGTCTCCAAAGATACATATGTATAGTACTGAAACCAGTGATGGCGAACCTTCTGGAGCTTTCCAACACCCGGCTGCAGCACATGTCCCATAGGTTTGCCACCACTGGCTAGGTGGTCAGCAAATGTGTGTTGAGTATACAACGTATGGAGAAGGGTACCTGTGAGGACTGTCCACTGAGGTGACATTTAGGCTAGATCTTAAATTGTAAGATTGGGGTATGTTGAGGTCGGCATGGGCAGTTTAGCAAGATCCTGTCTGAAAAAAATTTTAGAAAAGTTGGGCTGAGCTAAGGCATGGCTTAGCTACGACATTTACTTAGCATGCTTGAGGCCCTAGGTTTGATCACAGTAGAAAAGAAAAGAAAAGAAAAGAAAAGAAAAAAAGGATTGAATAGGTGAAATGAGGAAGGGTAGTTATGAGAGAACAGTGTTCAGGTAAAAGGAGTGCTGTGCTAGACAGAGACAGAGAGAGAATATGAATGGGGAAGAGTTTAGTTCTGGGTTTGGGCTATAAAGGATATACTTGAAGATTAGCAGAGGACATGTTTTCAAGGAGATTGGGTCCCTGGTGTAAAGGGCATTAAATGCTAGTCTGAGATGTCTGGACTTCATTTTGGAGCAAAGTCATTCTGTCAGAGACTTCTTAGTAGGAAGGGCTAAGAAATACCTAGAATTTGGAAATAAGTCAGGAGCAGTCTTGATAATGCCTGTTTGAAGTTTTCAGAATAATGTTTCTTTATTGGACAAGAATAGACTGAACATTCCACCAGTAAAAGTATTTCCCAAGTAGTTAAGTCTAAGACTTGACCATAGTGGCATACTTGGCTCCTGCCAGCAGTGATGATGATGCACAGAGAGATGGGGCAACTGCCGGCTGCCAAGCAGAGACACTTGCTTTCCCTTCACATGCACTTGGCAGCTAGTATTTAGAAAACCTAGTCTCACAAGTTCTAAGGTGTGAACACTTAATAATTAAAAAAATAAGCTTTTGCTTTTGTGCCACTTTCTGCCTTGATCTTTTCAATGTAGAGAAGATTTAAAACCCTCAATTTCTGGGCATCTTTATGGGTCTCAATTCCACACTATCACCAGGCATGTATCTCCAGGGAGCCTGCCTTTCCAGAATCATCAATGGGATTAAAATACACCCTTGTGTTTAGTATGCCTTGGCCTCAACATTTAAAAAGCTATTTATTTGCTTCCCTGTCAGTTAAAATATTTACCAATATTTACTGAAACAATGACACTGTCACACAGAATTTATTAGTTTGCTCTACTTTAACTACAACAGTTACATCTTTTTAAATATTATTTTGCTATTTTTAATACAAATGAAATACTGTTCATTTTCCCACAGTACTTTTTTTCATTCAGCATTAGAGATTATTTATATTGTGGGTCATCTGTAGTAGTTTATGGCATGAACATACCATGATTTATTCTACCATTCTGGTAACAGTGGACAGTTTTGGTTATAGAAAGAATGCTGACATATTCTAGTCTACATCTTCTTGTGCACATTTTTCTGGAGGCAGTGGTTCTGAAACTTGACCATGTACCACAGTCTCCTGAAAGGCTGTGTTTAAAGTGGGATTCTAACAGTTGGGGTCCCACCAACAGTTTTTCTGGTTCAGGTATGGAATGGGTCCCAATGATTTGCATTTCTTTTAAATTCCTGGGTCCTGATGACCTATTAATTTGAGAACCATTTATGAAAAAGTTTCATTTTATTGGTAGTGCTAGATTGTTTTTCGCCAGAGAATTGCCAAGCCTGGAGTTTTCCTATTTCATGGATGTTAATGTGAAAACTTGCCTACTTAAATAAAGAGTGTTGATCTGTAACCTAGAGCGTGGCTTTTGCTGGAGTCTCACAGCCCCGGAGCACTGTGTGGCTGCTTTACGAGCCTCTTCCACAGCAACTGAAACTAAAGCCCCTGCTGACTTAGTTGCTCCTGTTGTGAAGAAACTACACATCTATTACAGAAGTTTGGAAGTTAGGGAAAGTGATTGCCTTGCCAAGGAAGAGTCTGGGATTTGGGAAAAAGAAGGATTTAAAGCAGGCATTGAAGCAGGAAATATTAATATAACTTCTGGAGGAGTATTTGAAATTGAAGAGCACATCATTGAACAACAGGCAGAAGTGTTGACTGAGTTTGAGAGAAGGCAGCATGTTCGACAAATCAGCATTTCCACAGATGACTCAGAAGTCAAGGCTTGCCTCAAAGCCTTGGGGGAGCCCACCATACTTTTTGGAGCGGGCTCTGCTGAAAGAAGAGAAAGGTTAAGATTATTCCTTTTTGGCTGGGTATTTAGCTCAGTAGCTTAAGCGCCTACCTGTGAAGTCAATCCCCAGTACCAAAAAAAAAAAAAAAAAAAAAAAATTATTCCCTACATGGGCGGTGCTGATGCCTTTAAAAAGATGAGAAGTCTAAGAAGTTCAAAGAAGAGCATCTGCAAACCTAGTACCATGAAGGATCAAACAGCCTGAAGGTGGCTAGACTGTGGATCAGTGACTATTCACTAAGATTCCCGAGACAACTAGAGTATCCCAGATGCAAGAGCTGCACAAATCCCTCTGGTCTTTGAATAATTTCTGCAGCCAAATTGGGGATGATCAGCCAATTTCCTTCTTCACTTTAGTCTCAATTCCAAAATGCCACAGCTTGTTGGAGTGTGCTTTGCAAGCTCTGGTCTGTTCCTGATCATGACCTCTTTCACATAATTTGAGGCCATACTACAAATGTAGGAGCAATAATTGTGCTTCATCCCAAGTCTGCTGTTTCCTTGGTCCAAAAAGGTGTCAGCTGGCTTGTGCTGCTGGAGATTCTTTAGAGTGTTGACAATGATGAACCAGTAGTAGGTATGGAAGGCCTATGTGTGCATGGCCTGAGTAATGAGGCATCCATCAGGATGTTTCCTGGGCACCACCTGCTATGATTATTTGTGAGAGTGAGGAGATTTGGAGGCTCAGAGGAGATCCTGCATCAGGAAGGCCACAGCATGGCTGTATATAACGTTGCTTTCCATCAAGATGGCTCTTTGGCTTTTGGTCAAGTTTGGAACCTATCTACAGGATGTCACATCATGCTCCTAGAAGGCCACCTAAAGGAAACCTATGGAATAAGTTTTTCCCTAATGGCTACCACATTGCACCTGGCAGTGGTGACAACACCTGCAAAATGTGGGACCTTTCACAGCAGTGTTGCATCTATACCATCCCTGCCCATCAAAACTTAGTGACTGGAGTCAGGTTTGAGCCTATCCATAGGAACTTCTTACTCAAAGGCGCCTATGACAGTCCAGCCAAGATTTGGACCCAACCAAGCTGGTCCCCACTGAAGACTGACAGGCCACAAAGGTAAAGAAACAGATTTGAGTATTTCTTCTGATGAGCAGCTCATAGCCACTTGCTCATATGGTAGGCCCTTCAAGCTCTGGATGGCTGAGTAAGCAAGGCCATGAGGGAAAAAGTCACCTCAAGCTACCCCTTAGGAGCCATTTTTCTCAAAAGAAAAAAAATTGGTGTATTTTATTTTGTTCTATCATATTTTCTGCCAATTACCAGGTACCTCAGTAGAATTGATTTTCATGTTAATTCCCAAGCAGCCCAGTCCCTCCATGGTGACTCCTTTTGTGGTTGAAAATTTATTTCTTATCCTTAGGCCTTACCAAGAACTATGTAGATACTGTTTTTATTAATCTTGGTTTAAATGTTCTACCACCTTCCTCATGGCACTCAAAATTGTGACGACTATGCATTTTTAGTTCTCAAAAAAACTTGCCTTTTCATGATACATGCTTCATGACTGCATGTGATCCATCCAGCTAGTAAGATGGCTGGACTGTACCCTGGAAGCCCTGGCATAATGAGGAGCATCTTGCCTCTCACTGGTTGAACAATGCCTGACTGACAGCAAGTCTTTTTTTTCTGTCCTTGAGAATGAGAGATGAAGCAGTAGACTGCAGCTAAGTAGTCTGATCGTGCAGGAAGGAAGATGGGACACTTCCTGTGGAATTCACTTGAAATGCTGACCGCATCAGGAAACTAAGGGCCAAACATTCACTTGGTTAGAAAAAGTCTTCCATTTTGCTTTTAAGTTTGGCATCCTTCTTACCCTGAAGCCCAGCCATTGTGTCAGGACTCAAAGAAATTTTTGAAATTGTACAGCTCTATTGTACAGCTTCCTTTCTGTTGGTTAAAGAATGTATTTTTTGTATTAAAGGGTACTTCATATCAAAAAGTAAAACATAAGAATATTATCCAGGACACATGTATACCACACACACACACAGTATTCTACATTAAAACCTATAGGCACTGATCAAATTCAGTACCACGTGCTTAAGAAAAATCTTAGATAGTTACAGTGATTTTTAATACTTTATTCTTTCTTTAGTCTTTAAAAAAATATTCCAAAGGAAAATTCTACTTTGATAAGGAGATTTGTTTCAACAGAAGGTATTTCTTCTAATTGGAAGTCTTTCTCAAATAGGGCCAAAGGCTAATTGAGGGAAAGTTGGTTAGATTTCAGAGTAATCTTGTTGCATTCTTACTGCAGGGAAACCATTTGAGAGCCAGATCCAAGTAGAGTGTTTTTGTCAAGCAGGTTCACATTCTAGAGAAAAGCCGCTTCTATAGGTGACTGTTAGTGCACATGTCAAGGCCTTGTTTCTGTCCCATGTGCTCTGAGTCTCGCTACAGCATGCGGGACCCGTGCCCTAGCACAGTGACAGGGTGTTCAGTGAGCTTTGGTGTCTGCTGTGTGCATGACAGGGCACTAACAGTTGGCTGTCTTTCAGCTTTCATGACGCTGGCCATCATATTGCTGCACGTGTTCTGGGGGATTGTGTTCTTTGATGCCTGTGAGAAAAAGAAGTGGTACGTCCTCCTCATCGTCCTCCTAACCCACCTGCTGGTGTCCGCACAGGTGAGTGCTGCCGCTGCACACACACTGAGTTTTGGAACTCAAGTCCATGTCTGAAATGTACCTTTCACTCCAGGTGGAGCACGTGGGAAAGTCAGGAAAGGGAGAAAAGCCATTTAAGTGAGTGAGTGAGTTATTGAAGTTTTAATATAGAAAGACAGTTTTTTTTAGAGAAAGAGCGGGTGTGTGTGGGGTCTTATTAAAGATTTTTTTCCATGTATCTTTAAGGAATACAGTTAAACTTGAAAAAATTATACTTATGTTAGAAAACACATCTGGAGCCATTTCTGTCTCTTTAGAAATCCCTTAAGATAAAACATGTTGATGTCTTTATATCATTAATAGAAATTATTATAATATGTTTAAGTGGTTAATCACTTCCGATTTTTGTTATTGTGAAGCAGTCTTGACTATCTGAATGCATGAAGTGTTTTCCATATATTGTTTAGATTCATGGTTGGGGAGTTGTAAAATGGCTTGCATATTTTTTAAACATTTGATACAGATTGCTAAAGTACTCTCCATAAGGGTTGTACCATTTTTACACATTTTGACCAATAACAAAAATGGTAACATTACTTCCTATCATTTATAACAATGCTAATTTTCAAAATAAAGTTTAAAAATATGTAGTTTATTTTTAAAGTACTATGTAATGCATTGGGTTTGACTTTTATTATAAATCATCATATGTTTATATCAGAATGACCTCTGCTACTATCTACTCCAGACCTTTTTCACTTGTTGCCTGAAGGGTTATAAAGGTTCCGTCTGATGATACCTGGCTCCTGCTTTTCTTTTCTCCACCTGTTTCGCTTATCTCTGTCTTCCTTAACTTGGGCTCCTTACCCTTTGATTTGTCAAAGATACCATTTTCTTTCCCTCCCCTACACACGAAAGCCTTCAGTGTTGCAGGATACATGTCCTGGGGGACTGTATTTTTTGGTGCCTGTGCGAAGAAGTGGTACCTTCAATATGACAGCAACTATGGAAAGCCAAATCTTTGTGGAAAAAAGACAGGAAAGATTGTACTTAAAATATTAACAGCATTTATTTCTGGGTACTGGAATTGTGAATTCTTTTATTATTTGTAGTTTGTATCATTTTCCAAGTTTTCTACAACATAGAAATTGAAAGGAAATTGCTGGATAAAGCAAATCTTCTTGTGAATCCAACTGACTTATTTGTTCATTTAACAAGCCTTATATTGCTGTCCATGTTGCAGACCCTGTTCTGAAACACAACAGATAGCTGCCTTTATAATCTAGTGAGGAGAGCCAAGCAAGACATAATAGACATAGTAAATGAATTATATAGTATTTTAGAAGGTAATCAGTGCTGTGGAAGAAAAGTAGAATTTTTAAAAGCTAAGGAATTGTGTGTGTGTTTATGGAGTGTTCACATTTCTTAATTAGGTGGTAAGTATAGGCCTAGTTGTGAAGGTGACATGTGAGAAAAAAAAAGTTGAGAGAAGGAGTTGGACAAGTGGCAGCTGGAGAGAGAGCGCCTGTACTGAGCAGCCCTGTACTTGGCATGTGTATGGAAGCCAGATGGCCAGAGCAGAGTGAGCAAGGGGACAAGGAATAGGAGTTGTCCTTGTCAGAGAGTTGATGGTAGGAGGGAAATAGTAGGTTGGAAGTGAGATTTAGATAATGTAAGATCTGAGCTTTGACTCCACGTAAAATGAAGAGTCATTAATTGTTGGTATTGAAGAGAAAGATGACCTGATTCTCACTTTAAGGATCATTTTACTGTGTTGAGAATAGATGATAGAGGGAGAGAGATCATCATGATCAAAGGAAAGGCAACCATGCCTTGGATGAGATCACAGTGCATAAAAGAGAAGTGATCAGTTTTAAGACGTATTTTTGAACGATGAAGTGGATTTTGTTTCTTGATGAAGTGGATGAAGGATGTAAGAGGAAGAAGAGGAGCCAAGATGTCTCTAGGACCTGGGCCCATACTGCTGTAAGAAAGGAACTGCCATCAGCTGAGAGGGGAAGCTGTATTGGGCCCATTGTTCTGCAGGTGGCTGTGGGACAAACAAGTGCAGATGTCAGGTAAGCAGCTGGATGAAAACTACAGAGTTAGGGAGACACATTTGGGATAGAGAAAGATGATTTCAAGGAATTGATATAAATAGATAAGAGAAGACACTTGAGCCTCATGACACTCCAGCATTGAAACTGAGCAAAAGAGGAGGAGCCAGCAAAGAAGACTGAGAAGGAGCAGCAGAGAAATAGGAGGGCATCCTGGGGACCCCAGAGAGCTGGGTGCCCTGGAAGCCAGCAGTACTGAGGAGAGGAAAGCCATCACTGAAGCAGAAGCCAATGATTACACCCAGGCTTCTCTACTAAGCCTCTTGCTGGTACAAAACTTAGCTCCAGCTGTACTCCGCAGCTCAAATATATTCTGTCTAAACAGATGCAGTATACTCCACAACTGGCATGTCTTTGTCCCTGCTGACACTGTCTTCCTTCTAACCCAGGGCAGTTTCAGAAACTGCTCATTCTTTGTGAAGATTGCTGGAAAAGTTGCATGTTCCAAGCTCAGCACTATCATGGGACCATATTCACTGCTCTATTGTAACACTGTCCTTGGCTGGCATTGTTTTATTTCATACAGTTTTTCCATCTCTTTCTTAACTAGAGTTTGATCATCAACCTTTGTATCCTCAATCCTTGGCATATGGTAGGAGACTAATAAATGTTGACCAAATATCAGATGGTTGCTGTTATTCCATTTAATGATTTTAAAAGAGAAAAGCAGGAAGTTTGAAAGATTATTTCACAAAATGTTAACAATAGTTAACTTCCAATGGCAGATGTCAGCAAATAAGCAGGTTTATTTAAATTTATGTACAAACAATACACAGATCATAAGTGTACATCTTGTTGAACACATCTGTGTAACTAGCCTCTAGGTGAAAACTGGAATGTTATAAACCCCCGGAGCCCCTTTATGTCGTCCACTAAGTGTTCATGTGATAATGACTTGTAGGACTACCGCTGAGCTCTGTCTTTTGGTGTTTCATGTAAAAGGAACCATGCTGTGTTTGCTCCTGTGTTTGGCTTCTCTGGCTTGGCGTTATGTGTGAGAGTCCATCATTATCGAACTGTAGGTTGCTTATTCACTGCAGCACGGCATTGTGTGTTTACTGTGACATCCATTCTGTAGCAGAGAGGTTTTTGTGATGTTTCCATTTCTCACCTATCATGAATGATATTGCTGTGGACACTTGAGTGTGTGTCTTGGTGAACATGTATATGCATTCCTCTTTGATATGTACCTGAGATTAGACATTGGGGCCTGGGGTGTACAGGTGGTGGTGGTTTGTTCTCCTCACTTTTTCAGAGTGATGGTATTAACTTGTAATTTCACCGTTTACAATCTGCCATTTTCCATCTTCTCACTGACACTCAGTGTGACTTTTTTATCTTGCTTGGAAAGTAGTCATGATATGTTTTAAATTTTTAATTTGCATTTCCCTACTGATTAACAAGGTGTAGGATACCTTCATATGTTTACTGGCCATTTGAGAAGTGCTGTTCACATCTTTTGACTATCTTTTGGGTTGTCTATCTTTTTCTTTTTTCTTTTTAGGAATTCTTTGTATTTTCTGCAACAGAATCCTTATGTATAACAAATAACTTATTTTTAGTTCCTTTTAATGTACTGTTTTGATGAACAAAACTTCATCTTCCTATATTTTAATCAATCATCTTTTTTCTTTATGGTCTCACTTTTTGTGTCATTTAATAAATACTAGCCTAACTGAATTTCAGCTTTTAAAATTTTTTTTCAGCTTTTAAAATTTTTAAAATGTGTGTATTCTGATGTTCTATAGTGATCTTGTATTGTTTTTATTATTTTTTAAAAGAGAAAATTATTTTAAGAAAAATAAAAATGAAAAACAGTTGCATTCTGCAGTATAAATTAAAATGTAGTGGACTTGAATATAAAGTTATTCTGAAAAATAATCATGGAGGCTGGACATGGTAGAGCATGCCTATAATTCTAGTACTCAGGAGGCTGAGGCAAGAGGACAACCATGAGTTCAAGACCAGCCTGAACTATATCGTGAGATCTTGTCTCAAAAAGCAAACAAATAAAAAAAATCCAGGAAATCCTCAGTGCCTGCCATGCCCACAGATGCCTCTTAAGAAAAGTATTCCTAGGGGCTGGGGATTTAGCTCAGCAGCATAAGCACCTGCCTTGCAAGCAGGCGGTCGTGAGTTCGATCCCTGGTACCGATAAAAAAAAAGTTCAAAAAGAAAAAAAATAATAAAAAAAAAAAAAAGAAAGAAAAGTATTCCTGGGGCTGGGGATTTAGCTCAGCGGCATAAGCGCCTGCCTTGCAAGCAGGCAGTTGTGAGTTTGATCCCTGGTACCGATAAAAACGAAAAAGATGAAAAAAAAAAAAAAAAAAAAAGAGGGCCCTCGGCCTCCAATCCTGAGAAACATGTAGTATCAGACATGGCACCAATAGACATAAAGCGGTATCTCCAGAGCCTCATAGACGAGTTTAGGAATGAAGTTATTAATGACCTAAAGCAAGATATAAGTAGAATAGTTAGAGAAATGCTAAGCCCTGCCCAAGAAAAAACAGATGGTGGAATGGAAGAACAGAAAAAAAGGGGAGGATTGTTTGATGGAGAAAATAGAAAAAACATAGAAGACATGAAGCAAGTTCAAAGAGATTACCAGGAAACTAAAAACTCTATCGAAAGCTGGCATAACAGCTTGAAAGAAACAAAGGATAGATTATCTGAACTGGGGGGCAGATTCATAATATGGGAGCATGAAATGGAAAACTTCTTAAAAATAACAAAAAAACAAACAGCAGTAATACAAAGGCTCGGATCTATAACTTAAGAACATAAAAGAAGAAGTAGGGACACAAACAAATGGACTACAAAAGCTTTCACAGAAATAATCCAAGAGAATTTCCCTAATTTAGCAAAAGGTGAAGATACTCAGATGTATGAGGCATACAGGACTCCAGCCACCTACAACCCAAACAGAACAACACCCAGGCATATAATAATCAAAATTCCAGAAATCCAATATAAGAACAGAATATTAAAAGCCGTCAGAGACAAGAAACAGATCACTTACAAGGGAACACCCATCAGAATTACAGCAGACTTCTTGGCACAAACCATCAAATCATGAAGAGCGTGGGGGGAAATAATTCAAGCTTTGAAAGATAATAACCTCCAGCCAAGATTGAGATATCCTGCACAACTGTCCCTGGAAATTGATGGAAAAACAAGGTACTGCCAGGATAAAGAGGAACGAGGGGAATTTGCAACCACCAAACTCTACAGAGAATACTGCAGGATATTCTAAAAAAGGAAAATACCGAGATTCCAGAAATAATGGCAGAGAGGCCACAATGAATGGAGCAGAAAGCTAAATGAAGACAAACTGACAAGAAATGACAGAAAAAGATCTCAACAGAAATGAGGCAGAGAAGATTGGATGGTAGGAATAGATATTTTGGAGAAAATAAGACATCATAATAGCTAGTGCTGATTTAGTATCATCATGGTTTGAAGTCCCATCAAGCTTGTATTCTTCTGTCTCCATTGGTCTTAACAGGTTGTATCTTATTGGATTTTATTATATGTGATAATATAAGCAAAAACTTTTATAGACAAGGAAATTATACAGAAACCATTGTTCATTTTCTGTTAATTAGTTCTAAATACCCTGTAATAATGTTATTCTCTTGAATGGTTTTACAGTGTCTTGATATGTTTGGTGCTATAGTATACGAAGTTATATTCAAAGATTTCAAGGAAAGAGTCACTATGGTAACTACTTTTATGTCAGGATATCTTGAGGTGAAACACTATTTTGCTTAAATGGTTATGTTTTGACTGGCACTGTTCTGTTGTTATGCCCTCTTTTATCTCAATCCCCCCCCCTTTTTAAAATTAGTTACTTTTTTATTTTTATCTTTTGAATTAAGGGAAAAATAAATTAAAAATAGCAGTATACATTATAGTAACCTACTTTGATTTCCTATTAACTTGATTTGAAACCCTGTATTGCCCTCACCATCTTGTTTTGACTGATTTTCCCCTATTCTACTTTCCTTGATAGTACTAAGTTTGAAAGTGTAGGCAACAACTGTGAAGACAATAAGATTCATTAAGACGCCCATTCTGGATGACTATTACCTTCTTTTAAAGTCCTGTAATGTCTCCAATGTTTTGGTTGTATTCTTTACTATTTTGTTCAATTTTATTATAACTGATGATACAGGCAATCCTTCTTAAGATAACAAGAGGCAGTATGGTAACCATTGTTGATCACCTTGTATTTTGTTTTTAAATTATCTATTATGTCCATCCTTTTGATTTGACTGACTCTGTTCTGATATGTCGCATTTGGTTTTACTCTCTTCAAAAAAAGTAATAAGAACTGTGGGAGTAATAAAACCCAAAATGTGTAATTGTCATTGTACAAAAGAAAAGAAGGTGCTCTAAAGGTTATAACTGCATATATGTTTGAGTGTGTAGGATGGATAACCATATTACTGAGTTGTTTTGGATCATTGAACAAAACTGTTTGCACTCTCACTGTTTGAAAGTCCACTTTATATGCTTTAATTTTGTAACTTGAACAACTATTTCTAAGATGAGAATATGTAATCTATTAACTAGTGATTTCTTACTGTTTATTTTTTAAATTCTGTATTACTTGTACCCTTTTTGTTTTTTTCTTTTTCTCCTTAAATAAAAAAAAGAAAAGAAAAGAAAATATTCTTAGGGCTAGAGATTTAGCTCTGCAGAGTAAGCAATTTCCTGGCAAGCAAAAGGTCAGGAGTTCAATTCCTGATACCAAAAGGAAAAAAAAAAGTGTTCTTTCTATATAAAGTGTGACTTTCTATATTAAGTGTGACTAGCTCATTTCTTTGGACAGAACTGATAGGTCAGGATCAGTGTTTTAGCCAGGGACATTATGAATGTAGGGTGAAGGTGAGGACAGGGAGGTGCCTTGGAGACACTTTAAAACACTTGCTTTAAACCAACCTAGTCAGACCTTCTCCTTTGTTGCATGACAATGATAGCAGTAGATGGAAACCTATGTACCCTTGCCCCTGGTTCAACAGAAGCTGGGTTCAACAGAACTGGTCCCTCAAGGACCATTCCCTGCCTCACAGGCTCTACCCTATCCTTCCTCCTTACTAACACACCTCCCTCAGGTGGTTGTACACCCTGGCCTACATCCCCAGCCTTCCATCTTCATTAGCTCACAGGTATGTCTTAAAACTCTTTAGTACTGCTTTCCGCACTTTCTTCATTTCTCTTCATAGCAGAATGCCTCAGAGTAATCTCCACAAAGTCTTCACTTCCTCATCCCTCAGACTTTCCGACCAGGATGGACCCTGCTCAACCAACCTTCCACAAGCTGAGTTGTCAAGGTCCAAAGGGAGGTGTCCATTTTCCCAACCTAATGGACCCCTCAGCAGCCTTCAAGAAGAGATGACCACCTGCTCATTTCCCTCTTTTGACACTGCCTAGATTGTTTTCTACTTTACTGCTCCTTCTCAGACACTTTTGGGAGCTCTTACTCTTCGAGTAATTTGTGTTAGAATGTCTTAGCTGGGGCTGGGGATTTAGCTCAGTGGCATAAGTTACCTGCCTTGCAAGCAGGTGGTCGTGAATTTGATCCCTGGTACCGATAAAAATGAAAAAGACAAAAAAAAAAAAAAGAATGTCTTAGCTGGGTGTGGAGACACACACTGGTAATCCCAGCTTTTGGGAGGCTGAGATAGGAGTATTGCCACAAGTTTGAGGCTAGCCTGAAGTACAGAGTGAGACCCTGTCTAAAAGAAAAAGTCTCAGGGTTTGGTCTTGAATTTTTTTTTTTTTTTTTTTTGTGATCTCTCTCTAATAGCTTTTTAGACAGTTGCATTCATGGACTTGACTGTGGGTTCTCCTGTGCACCATGCTTCTACACTCCATTTTCTAGCCCAGGCCTCTTCTGTGAGTCTACTGCTTATATATCCAGCTATTTATGTGATATCCCATGGCATGGTACTTTGAATATGTCCTCTCTGGACTTAGTTTCCCACCTGTCATTCCAAGATTTCTTTCCCCAACTCTGTTACACTCACTCTTCCTTAAGTTCTTGTCATCTCATTAACTATTACCACCATTTGCTGAAAGCCAGAAATATCAGCATCAATCTTGGGTGTTTCTTACTGTTAAGTGTGTCAGCAAGTTCTGTCAGTTCAAGTTACCCACTTTTCATTTCCACCACCACCATCCTGGTCTGAGTCCCCATCTTGTATGGTCCTCATCCAGCTCTGTGTCTTCCTAACTAGTCTCCGTATTTCACAATACCTTCCTATAATCCATTCTCTGCAGCTTCGAAAATCTAGTCATTTAAGTCTCTACATAAGTGTGATGATTTGGTGTTCATGCTCCATGCATGATATGTACCTTCTTTGAACTTTGTTACAACATTGGCACGTTACCCATCTGACGTGAAAAAAAAAAGTCTCTGCCTAGAGCACTTTTGTGACTCTCCATGGTACTGAGGCTAAAATTCATGTACCACAGTTGGCCCTGCCTTCATCTCTGGCCTCCTCTGCTGCTCTCTCCATTCCTAAATGTTGTGAATACTGGCCCGTTTTCCAGCTCTTTGCCCCCACATGTGGTTCCTTCCTTGGCCTACTCACAGTCACTTTCTCTTCTTCCTGCATGTCTCAGTTTAAATGCCACTTTTCTTAGGCCTTCTTGACCATCCTAAATAGATCACTATATTCTTTCTTATCCTAGCATCATCACAGTTATCATTATTGTGTCATAGCATCCTTACAATATGTGATTTATTTTTTATTCATTACCTGCCTTGTCTTACTAGCATATAAACCCTGTTAGAGTGGAGACTGTAGTCTTCCCTAATGCATGACACAGTATCATTTGACACCCTACTAATATTTCAGGTTTTTTGACTTTGTTTGTTTTTTGGTGCTGGGAACCAAACCCAGAGTGAAGCTTGTGCTCCATCACTCAGCTACAACACTGGCATTGTTTTTAAATGAGTATGCTTTTGGAATCCATAACAAGTATAGATAAAGAAAAGACACTACTCCCTCACATTCCCTTGAACACCAGGGATTCATAACTCTAAATTACTCTAGATTTGCCTTACTTTTTTGTAGATCCCAGAAGCCAGTTTAGTTAATAAAGTCATGAATATAAACCAAAGCCAGCTTATACATGTGTCTTCCATTGAGCATTCTGTTAGGTTCTGTAATGACTATCTTCTAGATTTGTCATTTGAACTCAGCTAAGCATAGACTCTACAGGCCAGTATCTGTTGGCTAGCTCCTATGTGGCTTTGTGGGTCCTTAATACATGGCACGCATCATACATTCAGTTACAGTCCAGCTGTGGAAAGTATTTCATATTTTTCTCTCTTTGGTTATTCCACATGTTTACTAAGCTTGCATTATTACCAAAGCTGATCTATTTTTCCTTTGCAGACCTTCTTAAGTCTTCATTATGGAATAAATCTGGTGTCAGCATATATAATCATGGTGGCCATGGCCATCTCGGCTTTTTTTGTTGCTGGAGGCAGCTGCCGAAGCCTGAAACTCTGCCTGCTCTGCCAAGACAAGGACTTTCTTCTTTACAACCAGCGTTCCAGATAACCTCTGACAATCAGCACCTCCCAAACAGTGGGCTGCATCTTTAGAGGAAGCACAATTGTGCCTTTTTCTAAAAGAAATCCCTTTTATTCTGGTGAAATTTAGAAAACATGAAACTGGATAGAAATTTCATTCACATGGCTTTCAAGCAACGGATCTCTGAAAAGGATGTGTCCAGTGGTCTGCATCTTTACTACACAAGAGTCACCTGGCATTACGTGAAGAATTCTGGCTCTGGCTCCTCACTCCAGATTTAGTTAGCTGTTGGGTAATTTTTGAAAGCTTGAGGTAATTCCAATGAGGAGCCACTGAAGTCTAAATGGGAACTTCCTGAAAACACCTAAGTGGGTGAGAGGCTGGTGTTTGCTTCCTAACTCATCTTGTGCTAAGCAGGTAAATTGTCACATTTGTCTTTTTGTATTCTGAGGCCACAGGAGGCTGAAGGGCTAGCACCTTTGTGGACTGTTTCCATGAACTTCGCTAGGACCATTTTAGAGAAACATGGTGCACTGTGTTTCTTAATGCAATATTACATTACACTGACCTTCTATAATAAGTTAGCCAAATTATATTTTCTGCAGGTTTTTCCATTCTAGGTTTTACCTTTTGAAGCATTACATTTTTTTTAAACTCTAAATTCAGTTTCTTTAAGATTGTTTTCTGACTTTTTTGGGAAAGTATGAAACCAAGAATTGTTGTATGAAGTCTGTGAGTCTTTCCCCAGCTTAAAGCTGCAGGACTTTCCATCTGAGTGCTAGGTGCTGGGCTGGGTGAGGTGAAGCCCAATGTTTTATTTGTGAGTGGCTGGGTAGGGTGCTGAGTTACGGTGCTGGGACCAGCTTCATTTAGAGCGTAAGGAAAACATGCCAAAGGTGATTTTGATACCTTTCATTTTCTCCTATGATGCTGAATAGCACTTCGACCCAAATGGTACTGCATCACACTATCACCTAACCCATAGAATCTTTAGATCTACCAGGAGTAGGTGTCTCTGGATTTGGGGAGTGGTCATACAGCATTCCCTTTATAAGAATATTTAAGGTGTTTGCTCAGTCTCTAAACAAACATTTTGGTTTTCTTTATAAAGAGGAACTGCCAATGAATTGTGAGTTTACCAGTTGGCAATTGCTCCCAGATAATGTCTTTGGGGTGCTGATAGTATGAAATTGAAATTATCTATGCACTAAAGTGATAATCATATGTGAATCTCATATGTGTAGCAGGACATCCAAAAGAAATAGGGTCAGCATTGAGTCCTCAGAAATGGCATGACAAATGGATGTCTTTGACAGGACTGTGATAGGGAGGAATGATGGGCATATTGAAACAGAAGTACACCTGGTGTTTTGAGCTAACCATGTGTAATTCCAAAGTCCAGACCTTGCATGTGAACTCAAACTTTATTAATAAGAACTTCTTTTGTTTAAAAGTATTAGGATATCTCAATTGAGAGATTCAGGAGAAGTAGGTCTTCTAAAAAGGCTGTAAATCGCGTAAGTAGCTGTAATCATTCCTCTAAGATTACTTTAGGACTAATACCAGTGCTCTACTGGAGCTTTTAGTTTTCCAGTTTTATGCAAGATTTTCCTTGGACTAGAAAAATCAAAGGCGTAGACTGAATATAGAAACTGTCTGTGTAGTCAAGAGAGAGAAGATGTCCATAGAACTAGGATTTAATCTTAGCAGAACATAATATTCTTCGGTGAAGAGAAAAAAAATATAGTTGGTTATTACTGTTGGCTTACAAATCTCTTAAGTAAATTCTCTGATAAAATATCTACCGATCTGTATAGAAAATCAAAGAATTGTTTATTAAACATACTTGAGCTCTGAGCAGATTCTTTGTGTCCTAATAGTTTAATATTAAGCTGGCATGTTGTATAATCTCATTTAATAAAACCCCAGATGAGAACAGTATTCTCCTTGGTGGGACTGTGATCTTAGTTCAGGAAACTAATAATCTTTGTTATCTGTAATAAGGGAATGCTGTAACACTGCTTTCTCTAAGAACGTATTGCTGTAGTTGGCATAGCCAGCTTTGCAAACAGCTTGCTTTGCCTCCTGCCAAGAAAGCCTAGAGGGAAGATACAGTTTTCTTGTGTGTCTTTTGTTTTGTTTTATTAGGGCTTTTTGTTTTCCTGCATTTATTATCTATGGTGAGCTTTTTGAGCCCTAATAATTGGAGAGGAAAAATAGGTATTATATGTTCTCTCCCAGAATTTTCTCAGTTTGGAAGGAATTCTGGACATGGTTAAAAGTTGACCTTGGGTATTATGCTATGTGGATAATATTGATTCCGTTGGTTTCTAATATAAGCTGTATTTCTTTTAATTCATGTAAATTAGTAGTCATAACTGGAAACGTCTTGTTACCTCAGTCCTGGCCTGTCTGATAGTATAGTAGCAGCAGCCTTTTTTAGAGCATATTGATAAAAACCTGGCTGAAAAGAAGTAATGATGTTATGTGCAGACTATGTAGAAAATGGCTTTTGTTCCCAGTGTTTTTCTTTTTTTCCAAGTACATTTCAGTGTTTGCTGAGCATGGCAGATTCTACACCAGAAATGCTTGATGTTCTTATTCATACAGTGGATGCAGCAAGCAATTGTGAGAGAAGATTCTGTACCTGGTACTGTTCCCAGCACTTAAGCAGTCAGCATGGGCCACAGAGTGGTGCTGAGTCTTTGATAATCAACCAGATAGCGGGGCAGGCAGCCCGTGGAGCCATCATGGCCAGCTTTCTGGGAAGAGCTCTTTGAGGGCTGGCTTTCTGTTAATTTCTTGTAGGCCTCATCATTCCAAACTGCAGGTGGACAAAGTAAATGTCACACCAAACTTGCTTTGCTTATAGCATTTTATTTGCAATTATAATATTTATATTTCTCATTTAATAAGCAGCTTTATTCTGGTAAAGTGTAGTGTTTAGAAGAGATGTCTTTATGTAAAAAATGCAAAATTTTATTTAAGTTATACCATTATGTCCTACATACTTGCAGTATCAGATATTGCATTCAGCACATGATTCAGTGGACTCCTTCCAGACCTGTGTTTGTCAGTGAACAATAAAAAGATCATTTGACACTATTCATTTCCCATGTTTCCCCTTCTTTGGGTTAGTATCTCCTTCGTACTTGTTGCTGCAATTTTTGTCTCTTTAAAAACTTGCTTGTACTTTCTGTTGTTTATGAAGCATTTTTCAAAGAAAAGGTGTAAGTTGTTCCCTCATTTAAAATTCATAAAGTCTATTTTATGCCTGTGTGTTCAGAAAGAGCTTGGTGCAGAAAAGTTCTTTGAGATTTCTTGGGAGCTGGGGATTTAGCTCAGCGGCATAAGTGCCTGCCTTGCAAGCAGGCAGTCGAGAGTTCGATCCCTGGTAGCGATAAAAACGAAAAAGACAAAAAAAAAGAAGAAAAGTTCTTTGAGATTTCTTAAACCAAGCAGAGAAAAATGCCTCAAAAATTCTGGAACCTCACTTTGAAAAACCTCCTGAGTAATCGTGAAACAGTGAATTTATAAAACATCATGATAGTGGCTGAAATGGAGTCAGTGTAACCTCCAGCCTATACAGTCCCTGTGTTCCCCTTTCCTTGGTAAGCAGCAAAGATCGAGATTGGCATGGGCCATGAGACAGGACACATGTGAACTTGTGATTACCTGTCACTGAAGCCATATGATTACAGTTTGAAATGAGGCTGTTCAAGTTTTCTGTTGCGGTATTACTGGATAGTATCAGTCCAGGGACCAAAGGCTCTGTTTTTCTCACTTGTAAGCCCAAGAAGAAGTGTGCATTCCTCAGTTGTCAGCCAATTCCTCATTGAAACTGTGGCTGTCATTTAATTGCTATTCACTTCACATTTAGTTGGAATAGAGACTTCCCTCAACATGTAAAAAACCTCCAATGAATGAAGTACATATTTTGTCTCACTTAAAATATAGAACTAAAGAACCACTCAGTTGGTTACGGTCCCAGTCTAGAGGAATTGGAAATTTGACATCTGCTAAGATAACCATAATAATTATGATCCCAAAGGAAGTTCTGGGTGTAAGGCTAAATAATTTCTAGGAGGTATTTGTTGCTTAAGTATAGATCACTATAAATCCTTTTACCTGGTAGTAAAATGACACATTTTCTAATGCTTGTGCAAAACTAAAGATGAAGTTTATAGTGTTTATATTGGGCTTACCTTGCACAGAACATTGTGTAGACACTAAAAATGAAAAAGAGTAAGATGTAGGGATCTTTGTCTTTGGAGAACACATAATTAAAACATGTAAGTATTATAATAGCATTCCCATTTCCTGAGACACAATATTCGACACCAACAATTTAAAGGAGGAACGATTTACTTGGCTTATGGTTTTGGAGGGTTCAGTCTATGGCCATCTGGCTCTGAGGCAGAAACAGCATGGGGGAAGGGCATGGCAGAGGACTGCAGAGAAGGAAGGGAGTTTAAAAATATACCATTCTAGGTCACATTCTCATTGACCCATGCCTTCTGACCATGTGCCATATCTGAGCACATGAGACTTGGGAAACAGATTTAAACCATAGCAAGTGTTTTCAAGGTGACTATTAAATGCACTATAAGTTACAAATAGCAGACTAGCTTGAGTATAGAAGATGCTTCAAATTTTAGAAGTGAATGAAGGCATCTGGGTAATGGATATAGATCAAAAAGAAAAGATGATGGCTAAGCCCTGGGGCACTCCATGTAAAGGGTTGGAAAGGGGAGGAGTGATCAGTGAAGGGGAAAAAACAAGGGAGTGTGGCAATCCAGGAGTAAAGGATGTGAAAGGCTGTGAATAATGAGTAATTAAAAAAAAGAGAACTGATGGTTGTGTTGAGACAAAACTTGCTGGTGACCTTGATAAAAGCAATTTCATTGTAGGGATAGGGTTAACACCTAAATGGAGTGGGTTACAGGGAATGGGAGTTAAGCAAATAGACCCAGTGTCTAATTTTGGAGTATAGATATTGTAGAGGAATGAAAAAATAGCCCGAGGAGGATGTGGGGCAAGGTAGAGGCTATCTTTCCGTGTGTGTGTATGTGTGTGTGTGTGTGTGTGTGTGTGTGTGTGAGAGAGAGAGAGAGAGAGAGAGAGAGAGAGAGAGCGAGATAACAGACTGTGACGGCTGTATAGACTAATATTTGGAAATATGCTATAATATGATGGGAGTGATTCAGTAGGGAGGGAAGAATTGGTGCAGGAGAATAAACAGTTGCTAAAGCAAAGTTCTTGATGGAATAGATTTTTAAAAAGCTTTTGACAAAGCTAATATCCATTCTTAATAATTCAGCAAAATAAGTATAATAAAATTTCTCTCTCACTCTTTTTTTTTGGTACTGGCGATTGAACTCACGACCTTAAACTGGCCAGGCAGGCACTGTGCCACTGAGCTATATCCGTAGCCCTTGGGATTTGTCTTAAAAGAAGGTCATCTATATGAAACCTTCTAGCTATAAGGTCATATATATTTAATGATGAAAGACAGAATGTATTCCCCATGCAGATTGCAAACAAGGCAAGTCTTACCACTTTTTTTCAGCATTTTGTTGGAGGCCCTAGCCAGCACAGAAAGGCAAACAAAAGAAATAAAAGTCATACAGATAGGAAGAAATAAAACTGTCCTTATTTTCTGATGACAGAATCTGTGTAGAAAGTCCTAAGTAACTATGAAAGGGCTGCTAGAACTAGTGAATTTTGCAAGATTATAAGAAAGATAGTGTACAAAAGTGGATCACCTTTTTATACACTGGCACAGAGTTGGAAATTTAAATTATATTAGTTGGTTCTCTAGAACTATTTTAATGAGGTATGAGAAAGAAAGTCAGTTGGAAATTAATTTGAATTGGAGCAGGTGGGCTGAGGGGTTAATCCAGGTTTCTCCCAGTGGTTAAAGAAAGTGATAAGCTCTGAGCTGTGCTTGTTAGTGGGTACGTGGTCTTTCATGGAAAGGATGTACCATATTCAGGGGAAGTTTTCATATGGTTGGGAAAGAGAGGCACTAGCATACATGAGACATGTTGATGGATATCTAGTTTCAGCCCATGAGCTAACTGGTCTGTGTTACCTACCTCACCAACAGTTTGTCATCTTCATTGCAGGTGATTAAAAGTTAGTATTTGAAATGAGTGAACTCTAGCAGAAATGATGACTTTGATTTAAAATAGTGAGGTTATAACTGGCCACGTGATAAGATCTCTATCATGCTCCTTTTCAGCTCCCTGCCATGGGGCAAGTCCAAGGAAGGGCTATTCCTGCTCCGGCTGGAGAGTGGGCCAGGAGGAGGTAAACTGTCAGGGAACAGGTAAGAATGGGACTGAGTGACCTTAGGCCACCTGTGGCTGTTATGGCTAAGCCTTGTGCGGTCATAGGTGAGGCTGTTTCTGAGGTGGCTGGATCTAGAGTGTGTGACGCTGGAATTGATTCAAGGTGCAATGCTAGGATCAAGAGCAATAGGATTAAGGGTGCAAGTGCTACCGCCCTGAAAAGTCTGGATAAGATAAAAGAGGCTTAAAGACACTGTTAAGGTCCCATGTTGGTTTTCTGCCTTCTGCCTGTGCCATGTGCTGTTCTCTGGTGTGTGCCACCCTGCCTCAAAGCCAGCAAATTATGGACTGAAATCTCTGTGGACTTTAAACCAAATAAACTTTCCTTCATTAACTTTGGGTGTTGGATATCTTGTCTCAGCAATGAGAAAAGTAACTTAAGACCATAGCCTTTTGTTTTTATTTTTCATTTTTTAAGCAGATTTATGGAGGTACAATTGATAAAAAATAAATGACACATTTTAAAGTGTAAAATGTGAACATTTTGACACGTGGGGAAACCATCACAACGCAGATAATGATCATATGCATCACCGTAGTCACTTTTCATGTATTTTTGTAATCTCTTTACCTTTTCCCAGGCAATCACAGTCTGATTTCTGTCACTGTAGTTTAGTTTGCATTTAACAATGTTTTCTATATGAAATGAAATATATACACATTCATGATGTATACATTCCTTTTTTCCAGTTCAGTCTGAGGAAAAGAGCATGATGAGTGTATCTCTTGGGAATTTGTTTTAAGAGGTAAATGTAACACCCCAGTAGCTAGCCAACTCCCATGCACAATTGTGCTTGGCAATCGTGAGTCAGAATTCTTGCACACAGGCCAAGGTTTAACATTACCAAACAGATTGGAGGAGGAGGTGGTGGTTAACTTTCTGGAACCCATTGGCACAATGTATTTAGTACCTTTAACCTGTAAGTGTATGAGGTTATTGCATGATTGGATTAAGCATGGTGAATTCTATTTCATGAATGTGTTTCCATGTCACTGGAGCTGTGGAGGGTGGCCCTAGAACTGTCACCAACAATCCTGGTGCTGCAAGAGCTATGCAAGGGCCTTGTCTTCCTCTTAGAATTTAAACTCCATACTCTGCCAGTCTTTCGTGTTGCATAATGAAGGGGAGGGTGCCCTGAACAAGATTACACAAGTGAGAGGGATTACCAAGTTGCTGGTTAACCTACAGTCATAATACGCCCACTTGGTTGCAATAAATTTTTATGCTAAATTACTCAGTAAACCAAAGTGCTTTGGCCCTCACTTCTGTCTGTTATTCTATAATGAAAGGGCATGGGTAGAATCAGCAGACTGCCCCAGTGTGTGATAGCTGTATGGAGCTGGAGGACTGTGTGCTCCTGTATGGCAGTCTGCAGTGTGCACGGCATGTCCTGGGGCCCCACCTATGCAGCCCTCTTGTATAGACTGGTATCTCAGCTTCAGTGCAGGCAATCTCGGAGGTCACATTTCCTCCTGTGAAGGGGCCTTGATACTTCTTGAACATCTTCAAGGAAGACCACTTGTAATATGAGGGGGCAGACAGAGCTAACAGTGCAAGTGACAGGGAGTTCAAATGTGCTGTATTTTGCTAGAACCTAGCCAGCCCTTTTGGCCTGGCAGGCCATAGAAGCATGAACACACCTTGCAGATGCCAGAACCCCAGATCTCAGAGATGATGGGGAGAGGCACATTTGTCATCCAGCCAGGGTCCTACCACAAGGTCCTTTGCAGTTAACCAGGCCGATGAGGAAGAGGTGGAAGAGTCCAAGGTCTGCTACTGGGCTCTTCATCTTGGCTTCATTTTCCTCATCCCCTTTGTGGGAGGAGGACCCCTTTGGTGTCCCCTTACTCTGAGTTCTCAGTCTCCCATCCCCAATCTCTGTTTTTGCATGAAAGTTCTCTAGGCTTACCTCTCCCAAAAGAAGTCTCAAAAGAGGTTAGCATTGCACATCTGCTAATCCGCTAAAGTGATGCCACTGGCCACAAATGGCTATTGAGTGCTTGGAATGTAGTTAGTAAAACAGATATTTTATTTTATTTTAGTAAATTTAAATTTAAAAGCTGATAACTGATTCAATAATTTGAAAAACTTAAATATATTTGGGACAACTCTGCTTTTTCAACTGTTAATTCTTTGAAATATAAGTACAAATCAAATGTAAGGAAAATCTAGCATCTGAATTGAACATGTAAGTATAAAATGCCTACCACATTAACTTTCTATAGAAAAATTAAATATCTCATTAAAATACTGGATTACATGTTAAAATATATCATGAAAATTAATGTTACTGGTTTGTTATACCCTTAGTGTGGCTACCACAGAGTCCATTTGGTATTATATTTTATTTCTTTTGGGCCATAACCTTTGGATTGTTTTGGCAGCATTTAATGAAAGAATGGCTAAGTGATGGAAGACTTGAATTCCCTCTGCCATCCTGTAGTTCTCACCATTCTACTTTCCTGACATCAACTCAGATCAGTTGAGTTCAGGGAGTGGGGAGAGAGGCTGTAGAGACGGAAAAGGGTGACACCTACTCCCCACTCCAGGCAGCACCATCCCTGCCCCCTGCCCCAGTATATGGAGCAAGTTGAAGGTTTGAACCCCTCAGGGGAGCTGTCTTACACGCCACTTCATCTCTGTAAGTGATCGTGACACCTGGTGAGATGCCAGCCAGGAGAACTGCAGAATCCTCAAGTGCCAGCTGAAGGGACCCTCAGGACCTGGAGGTTTGTAAAGCTTCTACTCCAAAGCTCAGCCAAGTGCTGTGTCACCTCCTAGAGCACATTACTCCTAAACAGTTCAGCGATCTCTGTCTGAAGAATGTTAAGTAAAACTTAAGACAGTACTCTGTATAACTAACACCCACAGTGATGGTACCTGCTATAATTGTCACAGGAATGTCTCTTTTAGGACACCAAGATATGACATCTGTCTTAGACAAAAGGTTATATGGAGAATGACAGCATGTTTTGCAAAAGAATCTGAAAGTAGCAGCAACCAAAAGAGACTTGTCACCCATAGTACTCTAGGGAGTGAGAAGAGATACAAGATCTGTCCCTGATGTCACATCCCTTTGGTTTGGAACATCTCCCCCTTTCCCATTGCTTTGAAACCAGATTTACTCTTCAACCCAACTTAGTTAGACCCCACCTCCTCCTGGAGCCTCTCCTTGATAACTTTGGACTTCCCAGCCCTTCTAAAAAGCAGCTGTGTCATTAGGGCTGCACATGTTACAGGATGGTGGGGCTCCATCCTTGGCCAAGTGGCTGAGTCCACCTGTATGTTTTATTTGGGAGCCAGGTTCTAAGACCTAGATGTGTCGGATGGGTTGATTTGTTCTCATTAGTGGTCCCTTGCCATAACAAGGAGCTCCATACTGCTTTGCAGATAGTTACCTTTTAACCTTTACCTCCAAAAGAATCAGACTGATGTGAAAAACATGTTACTTTATTTATAATCTCTTCTGTTTACAGTGTATAGCTTCATTGCAATCATTGTAATAAATATGGAAATGCTAACCAGACCATCAGCACAGTTGCCTCCAATCTGAGCCATGGGCACAGAGGGATGCTGCAGGCCCCCAGCCTGCCCAAGAGGTGGTTAGGAAAGCCCTCAGAGAGTTCCCTGACAGTGGAAGAATTTAGGCTCTGAACTTGAACCAGGATGAAGAAGTCAGCACAAAAAACCCTAGAATGTCAAATAAAGCAACAGATACAGGTTTTTACTGGATGACACAAAATGAAGACACAATCACCTTCATGAGATACAAAGCAAACACTAGAGAAGGCCAAGCTCTGCCCCATGGGCATCCCCAGGCTGTGCCTCCTTGTTGTCCTCTCCACCTGCTGTGTGCATCCCCCAGGAGACTGGAGTTCAAGGTAGCTGCGCTTCCTATACCATGGCTCTGGCTGCCTGCAGCGGTGGCCAGTGTCTGTGAAATAAGAGAGAACCGGAAGCAAACTGGAGCTCAGTGTATGGCAGGATTAGCAGTGTTGATTCTTGAAGCATTCCTTCTGCTGCCCTGGCTTTGTTTCCTCTGGACCATTCAAGCTGGATGCCTGGGCCGTGCTGAGGGGGAGAGAGAGGGAGAGACGCCCCGTTCATCTCCCTGTGTGGCTTCCTTTGTATGACCAGCTCTTAGGCCAATGCAGCAATCTCGATATTCTCTCATCCATGTGTACAGAGTTTTCTGAAAGGCTGTCGCACTGCTCTGGTGTGTTTTGGACTAGTTTCTAATTAGCAGTGTTGGGCCAAAGCCAAGAAAGCATCCCCAGGCCAAGTCTATTTATAAAATGCTTAGAATATGAAACTCAGCTGCAGACAGGAGGGTGGGTTGGGCTTAATAATCAGTTTTTCTCATATTGTGGCCTAACAGACAACTTGTGATTCCAGTGCTGACTCCAAAGTGAGACTTTTCTGGACCATACATGTTGTCTTACTCTCCCTCACCTCTTTTCCTCTCTTTCTGTCTTATCTCCACCAAGAAATGGAACTTGAAATTACCTTTCTTGAAGGTCCAGTCAGGTCTCTGGTCCAAAGGACAGAAGTGTGAAAATGGCCCAATATATTATAAAACATGTCAATTCTAGCAGAAGAAAATCTAAGGAAGTTAACTCCTCTGGTGAAAAAAGTAACTGAGTTTCAAAAGCAGCACCTAAGCAGAGAGTGTGCATCTTTGAGTGTGCACTGCGAAGCTTGGAGAATAAAGAATTTCCAGGATACTTGAAAACATCTCAGGTGAAATCTTGTTGGAAATGTGTCCCAACCACGAACAACCCGCCTGTGGGTGACTCAGAATCCAGACCTTTCAGCCATCTCACAAAGGTAGAGGATCGGTTCAAGGTTCCTGCCTTCTGGTCCAGGAGCTCCTCCCAACCACGGATCATACTATGGATGGCTGTGGCACAAGGGTAGGGGAGGCCTGCAGGCCAGGAGTCTGGAATGTTTGCAGGTTGAGCTCCATAGAACATCTTGAGGAGTTTCAAGTGTCCAGAGAGCCAAGATATATAGTGTTCAAAGCTGGGTGCTTCCTTGGATAGCTAGGAGTTCCCTGAACCTCAGGAGAGAGTCTCAGTCTCCTTCTTGATGGCTGGTTTATAAATGACTCCCTTGTTTTCACCTTTTTTGCTACTGGAACAATAATAAGAGGATATTAGTCTTGTTAGAATGGAGAGAGTAACCGGAGAGTAGCCTGCCTTGGATATGAAACTGAGGGTGTTTTAGAAGTCAGATTCCTGTCTTTGGGACCCTGCTTAGATCTGCTGGTGTTGGGAGGCAGTGTCGGTAGATGGGTCATTAATGAACTCAAACAGAGCTGTTCATTTTGCAACTGTTCTTTTAATACCTGACCATATTACACTTGCATTTTGAAGATCTCATTATAACTGTACTTCACACTTTTGGTTTCATAATTCCCAAAAATGTTTCTATTTTTCCTACCAGGAAAGATAATTATGTTTAGGAAAAGCCAAAAATGACAATAAAACCATGGGCTAAGGGAATTAATAGCTAATATGAGGTTGTAGGTTTCCCCCATTTTCTTTTCTAGATTCACAAAAGAAAAACCAGATGTAAAGATCCTAGCAAGGAGATAGTCTTGCTGATTGCATCCGGTACAAACCCCAAAGCAAGAGGCTTGTCCAAGGTCACACGGATAATAAGCAATAGCAGCAGGGCCAACATCTCCAAGCTGAGCAAAGTGACATTTCCACACTGAGTGTCCTATGTGAAGCAGGCGAGGGCACTGGTGTTTTGGGCACAGCTCTCCTCCTGCAAGGCTGCCTTCCCAGACAGACTGGTCATTAGGGACATGTTAGCCACCCATTTCCATTTGGACCCAAACCAGCTCACCTCTTCTTTCTTCTGAAAAGCCAAATGGCCACTCCCAAGACAATGCAGATGCCAAGGACACCAGCCAGGACCACAGATAGGATGATGCCTGGGAAAGAGGCAGTGGGCACACGTTACATTTTCCCAACCCCTTCCAAACCCACTGCATAAGGTGTGCAGTCGTGTTCTAGCTGCATGATTGTCCCCAGAAAGGTACAGTTTCTCCATGTCTGCTCTCAGATTCTGGACTTTGGCTTAGCAGGTCTTAATGGGGTACTTAACTATGGCCATTTACAAAGTAAAGTGGTTTTCCAGGAGGAATTCTCAAACTTGTACAAGAATCATCTGAAAAGCTTGTTCAAAATGTAGAGGTTTCTGTTTTGGTTATTATTATTACTTTTATTTTTTTGTCTAACTCTCAGAGACTCAGGTTCAATCTGTTTGCCATGGGGCCTAGGAATCTGCATTTTACCAAATGCCTCTAGCTGATGGTGTTGCACATGATCCTTCACAGTTTGAGAAATCCTGAGCTTAGAATAAGAACATATTCTATCTTTGCATCCTGGATCGTCTTTACCATCTTTGTCCTCAAGTTCCTGATCTTTGTTCCCCACTCAACTGACCTCTACCCTGAGTTTAGAAGTGTTTTCAGATACTGTGTTCCCACTATGACCAACAAAAGGTCTCAGACAGGCCATTTGTATGCATGCTATACAGTGATTAGGTCTTTGATTAGAGCAACATTTGATTGGCAATTCATCTTTGAATTAGAGGACAAGACACAGAGGAGGGAGGAGGCCAGGAGCTGGAGTGACAGTAGAGAGAAAGCAGAGAGGATGGGCTGGAAGGATCACAGGCCCAGGTCACACTGAGAATCACCAAGATCACCCAGCTGCAGCATGCATGATCAGCTATCCACATACCCATACTCAGTTCTGCGTCGGTAAGGAGTTCTATTTTAATGAGAGAGGAAAAGATGGGAAATTAGAGTCAAACCATGCTGAATCTGACCAGGCGTTGAGAGAAGCTCTACCTTACCCGTGGCTTATGCAGCCTTTCTGGGCATAGTCACCTTTGGCTCAGATGGCTGCCTGATAGATTAGAGGGAACATCGAGCTAGGGACTCCTACTGTGACGCCTCTTTCCTGTCTCCTTTGCCACAGTGCGCTATTCGCCAGGACAAGACTTCGGTTACTCGCATGTACCAAGAGCCTAGGCCGGGAAGGTGAGAGGCAGTCAGCCTGCTCTGGAGGCTGCTGTCTGCTTCTCTGAAGTCCTCTGCTGTCTTCCTTGGAGAGGATTCTACCACCAGCCTCTTCTCCAGCCCACAGCCACGGCCACGGCCACAGCCATGGCCACGGCCACAGCAGCTCAACTCATGTTGCCTTTTTTGGTGCTTGGCTCCTCCACTATCCCTGCTTCTTGTCTCTTCTCTGTAGAACTAAGAGATGGTGGCTTCTCCATGTGAGTTACTGATGGAGGCACTAGGGAGTCCTCAGTGGGACTGGACTGCTACCCAGCTATCTAAGGATGCACCAGGACAGATCACCCATGAATCCATTTTCTTCAGGGAGCAGAGGAGCACAATCATGAAATCCCCTTGGCCTTCCCCAGCCTACTTCCTTCGGGTTCTTTTGGTTCTTTCCCCTTTTTCTCAGGTCTTCTGTCTAAAGAAAATGTGATGGGGCTGGGGATTTAGCTCAGCAGCATAAGCGCCTGCCTTGCAAGCAGGCAGTCGTGAGTTCGATCCCTGGTACCGATAAAAACGAAAAAAAAAAAAATAATAAAGAAAATGTGATCACACATACCCCCCCCCCCCCGGGTGTTTGCTGATCTCAACAGAAACTGCCTGTGTGCATGTGTATGGGTGCATGTGCACATGTGTGTATTTGGTGGGCAGTTGTTGTAACACACTGGAAACCAGAGTTGTACAGATGATGGCCACCAACCCTGGCAGAAGAGCCTCCACAGCCCTCAAGACTCTGATAGACCTTGGCCAAGTGTGAGATGCCAGCAGAGAGCCAACCTGTGCCTGGGGCCCTGGACACCCTGAGGCAGCACATTTGAGGCTGTAGGATGAAGATTTACTCCCTGCCCACCTCCTGTGCTGTGGCCAGGGTATAGCTGGTTCCCCAGCATCTGTGAACTGTGTCCCTTCCCCACTGTCTTCTTACAATCTCATGTTGAACCCCCAGAGCTTCGCTGATGCAAGGCTGCCCCTTGTGTGTCCCTGGTCTTGCTTTTCTAGGTGTCCCTGGGCTGCTGCAAGGGAAAAAGAGAGAAGGCATGGAGAAAGCTGACCCCAAGGACAGGGTAGGCTGTCCTCCCTGCTCTTGATGGCCACCATCGGCAGCTCATGGCTTCCCAAGTGCCAGATTTCTCCCTACCCAGCCCTGTTCTTGTATCCTGAATGTGAGGCACAGTCTGTGGCTTGGGGAGATGCCAGGGCCAGGTCTCCATCTGCGGGGAGGTTCTCATGTGTGCACAGCTTATGCTCTGCTCTGTGCCTGGCCTGTGGTGCAATTCGGTATCTGGGTTTGCGGCTTTTTAAAAACGGTACCCAAAGAGACTTTGCCCCTTCAGATTGCAAACAAACAAAACCTGGCCATGATTTCTTTTCTAAAGCTCTTTGATGAAATGCACTTTTGTTCTTTGTTCCTAAAACTCCAGAAGCTCCTGGTACCAAACCAGTTCTCACCATACAAAAAACGATTACTAGCACACTTGGCCACTTTGCTAAGCCATCTAAACTGGATGCTATTCCTAACATTGACTTTCATAGTCACCTCATGTATCCTGAGAGCCACCCAGGACTCCAGCAGCTGGGCAGGCCCAGTCCATGCCTGGGCGAGGTGCCTTCATGCCCTTGTCTCAGTTTGCTGAGCAGTCAGTGGAGAGCAAAGCCCCCAAGATGGGCCTTTTCTCCAGAGCATGTGACCCAGCCTGGTGGCTTCTCCAAAGGGAGAGTGGCTTTCACCTCTTGCTGTGAATGGCTCTGTGGTGTTTTTAACTGGAATAGGCCTGAGAGACTACAATATAATTCAGTCCACTGCTATAACCCAAGTGTTTTGCTCCTGGATGGTGGCTTGTCAGGTACAAAATAGGGTCTCCTTGAAAACAGAGAAATACAGCCACACAGCCATGAAGATAAGGAATGCAAGGCCTGACACGGGTGCCTTCAGCACCTGAGACTCAGCAAAAACAAAGCAGCTTGACTAAGGAATACCAGCCAAGGGGTTAGCTTATAGTTCTGTCCCGTCAGGAAGCCTGGGACACTGCCCTTGCCAATCCAGGTGGCACCAACCATCAAGGAAGTGGGCTTCTCTACAGAGAGGGAGCATGCCCATAGGTCCAAGGTCCCACTGGAGGCAAAGCCAGAAACTGCTAACTCAAAGGAGACGAGAAAATCCGCAAGCTGTTCAGAGCACAGGGCAATTCAGAGAAAAGTCAAAGCTGTTTTACAGCAGAGCCTTGGCTGGCTGAGGCCCAGTCTCAGGGCTGCTGTAGTGAACAGGCCTTAAAGATGATCAGAGAATGTGATGTTTGGATTAAACAAAGAAGTGATCCTTTTCTACACAGGGACTAAGGCAGGTTCCACTGAAAAGCACAGACAGGAGACTCTGAGACAGACTGCTCCAGAGGTGGCCCATGACAGCTACTGGCTAAGAACTCAGCAGAAGAGGCATCTATGCTAGATGGTGGCAGAGACATATGCTGAGTTCCCTGCTATCCACAGAGTGCTCAGCTTTGAGTCAGAGCGAGCGGACACATAGAAGGAAATGACACAGACACAGGAGAACTGGACTGTGCATGCCTCGTCCAGTAAGGTAAAGACACCTAGAGGAGGTCAGGAGCTGCTTGCTACCAGAGCTTTGCCACCTGTTCCAGTTCGCGAGCTGCATCTTCCACTGGCATCCGGCTGGCCTGAAGATGCTGGTTACTGCTTTTGAGGTCTCCTGATGCCTCAAGGGTAAACACAGACAAATCCAGCCAGAGGATCAAGCTTCCTTGCATATATCTTGGGGTTCCTGGAACAACCATCTAGTATTTTCTAGCTCTGTTTGCAATGCTACTTGATAACATAATCCTTTTCTTTTCAAAATCCTACTTTTTGGCCAGGCCTGGTGGCTCACACCTGTAATCCCAGTACTCAGAAAGCTGAGGCAGGAGGATCGTTGTGAGTTCGAGACCAGCCTAGGCTACAAAAGTGGGCTCAAGTCCAGCCTGAACTGCATAGAGAGACCTTGTCTCAAAAAAAAAAAAAAAAGTCCTATTTTTTGTAGGCAGCAGGTTACATAGAGATAACATATATGCGATATATGAATTTTCATCAATCTCTAGTCTTATTAAAGAGACCAGGAGAGTTTAGTTTACCAAAGGTTCAATCATGCCAGTCCATGAAATTTAGTTTAAAATGGTATAATTCTTATTCCTGTCCTCTATTGGAAACCATAGAGTTAAGTAACTGCTAGTACCATCTTTGAATAATGCCCTCAGTAACCAGAGCATGACTGTCTTTGCGGATATATTCAACTGGGCAGTTTTCCTTATTAACAGGTATACAACCCAGTCAGGAAATAATTTCTACAAAGAAGTCTACCAAAAAAACCCTGTTAGATTATACACCTGTCTCCCAGATCGCAGGAAGGGAGGCCCAGGGCAGAAAGTCACACTGCTCCAAGGGGCCAAAGTCCTGGGGCAACGGGACAGTTACAGTGACAGCCCTTGGCCCTGTGAGCTCCCTTTTGTGGCCCAAGGCAACCATACTAAAAGAGTGAGAGTGGTAGAACTGGGTCTTCTGCCTCTGTCAAGCCAGCGCCCCAGAAGTGCCAGCTTCCTCACAGACCTCAGAACCAGGCAGGAAGTTCTGATCTTTACAGTTTTTCTTAAACACACGGGCCGATTTAAACAGAACAACATACGGGTTGATTGAGAATACAGCAAGTGAAACTTAAAGCTAAGATTTGACAACTGGCCAGACTCACATCTATATCATTGTTCACAGAAGGCGCTGGGGAACAGGTGGGGGAAGGACTTTCAGCACGTTTGTAATGAGCGTAGGCACAGTGCCAGACATGAAGAGCAAGTGAGGCATCAGTTGTGTCGGGAGCCTGCACAGGGTGTGTAATCTTTCTTTCTTTCCCTCCTTCCTGTTTTTAAGTTATGGTAGGAAATAACTGCTCTGTGGTGCGAGGCACTGTGACAGGAATGCGTAAGTCTGGTCTGGCTGAGACCATCAGTCACCTCCTGGGGGCAGGGAGGACTTCTGAGGACGTGATTAGAGCTGGGTCTTCCAGGTGGAGGAGGGTGAGAGCCACCCCAGATGAAAGGAATAAATGCTGCATGCACTGCATGTGGGAGGTGACTGAGGTCCTTACCAAGGAGAGGGCGCAGCCATCAGCCCAATCCCGCATCCCACTGTCAAGAGATTCTTGAGCACGGCCTGCTCCTCACCAGGGGCTTACCAGCTAAGGTAGGGTTTTCTGTTCCCACAGTGCACAGCTGGGCTGCACTCAGGAAACATGTGGGGTGTTGGAGCAGACTGAGACCCCACTTCTTAATGTATCTGACACCTGCTCCTCGTATTCAGTCCCTGAGCCAGGTTTAGGAATCTGAAGGAAGGACTCCTCTGGTTACTTGGTTGGATGCTTTGGAAAGATCAGTGATACTCTTCCAGCTAATACCTTTTATTTATAAATAAAAAACTTAAGCACAAGGTCAATATCCACAACATGTACATTCTCATCTCAAAATATTAGATAATTAGCCGTCTTAGCGGTAAGATTTCTCTTTCCTTTAAGGTTTTCTAAAACTACGCAGGTCCTTGAGGGTCAAGCAGATACTAACTGTGCTGCTCTACAGTTGGGCCCTATAGGAGGTGACATGCATTTGCTCAGAGCAGGCCTATGAAGACGTGATTATAGAAACCCTGTGGCCTCCTTCTGTCCCACCTGTTCCTCACTGACAAGTTAGAAAAAAGTGCTTGGTAATATTAGTACAGCATTGGGGCTAGGGATTTAGCTCAGTGGCGTAAGCGCCAGCCTTGCAAGCAGGCAGTTGTGAGTTCGATCCCTGGTACCGATAAAAATGAAAAAGACCAAAAAAAAAAAAAAAAATATATATATATATATATTAGTACAGCATTTATGTTTAATGGGCTCTTGTTATTAGCTATTACCATCTAGTGTCACTGGGGAAGAGGCCAGCCTGAAGCACCAATAATCAGTTCAAAGCCCTAAGTGCTGGTCCCTGGGACAAGCATCTGCTTCTGCCACCTTTCCCATTTCGTAGGGCATCTAACTCCTGTGCCACCAGAGGTGGTCCTGAGATGATTGCCCTCTCCAGGAGTCCACTCTAAGGATAAGCTCAGGTCTTCTTTGGAAGAAGCACCTTTTAAGAACTGGAAGAGTATCTAGCATGACTGTCATTTTCCCATAAGAGCAGGCATTTTAACCAAAGGCAACAAGAAACAACCTCCAAGAGAAAACTCCCTACAGAAGGGAGGGCTAAAGGAACGATGAGGGGATTCTGAAGGAAGTTGCTACTTAAGAACCCTCAGGCCGCAGATAAAGGGGTTTGTGTACTCTCCCAAGGTTCTCTTTAATGCCATTTCTCTTAGCCTTAAAAAGTAAAATGGGGAATGAGACATCTTTTGGATTTATTTGTTCTATCTCAGTAACTTCAGTTTTGTCGTTTCAGTTACAATCATCACTTGACTGAAATTTTCATGCCTTATCCTGGCAGGATAAGGAAAAGACCAGGCCAGGTGACATAGGACTACAGAGTTGGTAAAAAACATCTCTTCTGGGCCTAGGTGAGTCATTGAACAACCCTTGGGGCAGTGTATCCCCATGAGGGTTTTTTTTTTCTTTTTTGGGAACAGGATCTCACTATGTATATTTCAGGTTGGCCTTGAACTCACTATGTAGGCCAGGCTGGCTTCAAGCTCACAGCGGCCCTTCTGCCTCTGCTGCCTCAGCCTCCTGAGTGCTAGGATTATGAGTGTGCACCACCACACCTGGCACCGTGGCATCTAATGGGGAGAGGCCAGGAATGCCACTGGATGCAACCACAGTTATCCTTCCTGAACTGTGGGTAGTACCCATGTCAAGAAACTCTTCCTCAGGGCAGAAGGTGGACAACTAGATGTCCACATCTTTGGACAAAAAGCAGGTTCCATATGCTTTTCCAAGCACAGTCTAGGAAGACAGCAGTCAAGTGAAACGATGGATTCCCTGTTGTCCCTATTGTTAAACCTCAGATCTTCACCCCCCCCACAATGTCTCCTAGAGGATTTTCTTTAGCTTACTTTCTTCCTGGCAGAATTTCCTGACTCCATAGCTCCTGTTAACATGCAGAGAAAATCCTAAATAAACCAGGCCCTAATTACAAATATGCCTCAATAAAAGAGTCTACAAATAACCTGAGTCCAAACTGCTCAAGGCTCGTACAGACCAACAGGCTGGCCCGTAAGCCTGAGACAGCATGTTACAGACTGAGACCTGCTCCAAGCTGAGTGTGGGGCCCTGGTGAGCACGCCTAGGCAGATGAGGTTTGTGGCTTCACATCTTGGGCTGCCTCTTCACTGCTCCTGGGGAAGCAGCCATGTTAGCTGCCTGTGTCTTTGGGCAGGAAGAGGAAGGGAAATTCGGGCCAAGTTTCTATAATCAGCATTCAGATGAACAGATTTGCCCTGGACTGCCATGAATTCTCGCTGCAAGAATTCAGCCTAGGCTCATGGAAGCAGGATGTGTGCTCAAGCCATGCAGGGAAGGCCAGCAGCAAAGCTGCACTTGGGCTTTGATCTGGACTTCTAAGCTTTCTGAGTTGAGTGCGAGCTTCTGCTTGAAGCCCTCTTGTTCTACCCAGCCAGACTTGAAGAGATTACCGATGACCTGCTATCACTACCCAGTCTACAACACTGCTTAGATGGGAGCCAGTATAAGAAGATGGCTAATTCCTCCCAAAGCCACAGTCCATCATTAAAGTGAGGGGTTACTGTTGGAGTCATAATCAAGTTCCTGCCCAGTTTCTTCTGATCCTCTGTATCTGCCCTCAATCTCTGTCCCTGCAACATAAAGTTAGGATTGGTACTTGTTAGTGTCCATACCACAGAAGAAAATGAAATGAGGCCTTTAGTCAGGTGTGGTGGTGCATGCCTGGAATCCCAGGATTTGGGAGGTTGAGGCAGGAGGATTGTTGTGAGTTCAAGAGCAGCCTGGGCTACAGAACCTAGTGAGATATTGTGTCAAAAAGACAAAAACAAAACAAAACAACCCAAGGACTCCTAATATTTGTTCCCTTGTTCCCAATGATGTACACAGCTAACTAGCTCAGGAAGCAGAGCTGAAAAACACAAAGCCCTTAAATCACAAGCAAAATTATACCTGATCTACGTGAGAAAAGGCGGAGTTTTGTATTTTTAAATTTTAAGTATTGTACTAGTTCCATTTATACTGTAAATAGTATGTATTTCACTTGGAAGAATGGGACAAAAAAATGCTGTATCCCAAATAGATCACTAAGGAAAGCATTCTGGGTATTTGGATCATTTCTTAGAAAAGAAACTGTTAATTACAGATTCTCAGTGTTAGGAAAGGCCATCATTCATGGATTCAGTTTTCAAACTGAGCTGAGGAAAAGAGTGAAGTGACCTTAACTAGTGCTATCTGGAAAGAACACAAAGATGAGTTCTTGGGCAGTTCTTAATTCAGTACCAACAGAGCAGGACAGAATTCTGACCATGGAAATGGGTCAGCTCAGAGGGCAGGTTTTGAAATCTTCATTGCAAAGGCCTTGGAACTGTCTTCATTACACAGCTAAAATAACTGGTCATAGTTATGATCTCACGTAGTAAAAAAGGAACAACAGCAACGACAACAAAAAGTACACCTGGTTAAGATGAGGACTGCAGATGCTCTGACAAGTAGGTTAATGACTTCATCTTTAAATGTGCACAGCTGGCCCTGCTGGCCCATGAGTGATATAAGAGGATGCAGTGGGACTGGGTGGACCTTACCTGCTTCTGAACACCCAAGATCCCCAAGGCAGAAGAGACCTGTGAGATGGTGAGATGGTGAACTCCAAGGGTGTGAGTCCCTTATCCCTTTCCAGAAGCACGGATGGAGGTCCTGAACAACTAAAATGTTAATGTTCTTCTGGGAGCTATGGATTTAAAGGGAAGAGTGGGCCTTCATAGTGGAGGAATAAACCAAATTATGCTTCATTCAATTTGGAACAGGAATGCATGGGCTTTTATTGAAGCACCAAGCAGATTAGACAAAACGACTGTGAGTGAGGGTGCTTTCAGATCTCTCATGGGCCCTGCTAACTTAGGCCCAGGAGTCAGGATCTTACAAAGGAGCACTGAAGGATGCTAGTGGTAGGTGAATCATCTATGTAAACCCAGGTTGGGTGGCCGCAGCCCTTGATGCCAAGAAAGCCTAGGACGAAAAGCCAGAAGTTTAACCACGTGAGGAGCCTAACATGTGTCATAGGAGACAGATCATCCCTCAGAGCAGAAGTCCCCTAAAACCTCTCTTGCCTGTCTATGGAAGATTCCCAGAGCTAACCAGGGCTCTGACCCACGGGCCCAGAGATCTGGCCTGTGCTTTTCTCTACAAGGGCTCAGGGAAGTGCAGAGCTGTGAAAGGAGACCCTGGTAACAAGCCCCTTACCATACCTTCTGGTTGTGCCCTGGTTCATTAGGCAGCCTTCCAAGGGCACCAGTGCCAGAGTCAGACTCAGTACCACACACACAATCCTGCCATCCCCGGCCACCCACCCTGTCACTGTATCACTCACCTTGTTGGAAGGAGATGTACACCATCCTCTCTTCAAACTTTTGGACTTGTCGGAAGTTGTTGACCATTTCTATGGGGGAAGGGTCACCCATATCTGTGCAGTATAGAGCTGTTTCTAAAGCCAGCAGCTGAAGGGGAATGTAGAAACAAACCCGATATGGACAGACTGATATTCCCAGGGGAAGGACACAAGAGAAGTCCCCTTGGGTGTCTGCCTGGTGGGAGGCAGTGAAAAGTATTAAGTGTTGAGTGCCAGCTCCCAATTATGCCACAGAATCTGCCCCACAGAGGGCCTCTCCCATGAATCTGAATTGGAACCCAGCTCTTAAAAGTAGACAACCCAGGGCTTGTTCTGATGGCCACCAAAGGAGGACAAGGAGAGAGTAAAAGGTTTCCAGGTCGCCTGGCTGTCACCTTCTGGCATTTCACACACCCACAGAGATGATATAATGGGTTTCCAAGGGAGTTGCTGGGTGAAGATGCTCCCTCACGCACATCAGCTCTGGTTCTTCACCTCCTCACTCCTGTCCACCCACCTGCTGCCATTCTAGGTAGAAGCTCATAGTCACGAGCAAGAGCAGCAGTGCCTTCGGTCCCAAGATGGGCATGAGTGGGCAAGGTGGCCCAGCTGCCTCTCCGAGGGGCTGGGTTTCTTCTTCATGCTTGTAGCCATGAAGTACAAGAATGAGCCACTACTTGGAGGCTCTGAAAACCTGACTGTGGCTCTCACGTTTGTCACTAACTGGTGGTGATCCCATGAGCTTCTAACGACCAACTCCTTCATCTGGATCCTGAGAGGTTTAGAGACTCTCACTGGGGCTGAGCTTCTGGGGACACCAACCCCCACTCACTCGCTGCTGTGACCCCAGCACCCTGTTTGGTAAAGGATTTAACCTGATGCAGCATTTATCCCTACAGATAAAGGAACCAGGTTCCCTCCCACCTGGGGAAGCAAGACCATCCAGCTACTTGGGGCTGTCTTTACAAATTCAGCCACACAGTTGAAGGGTCCTTTTAAGGAACCGGAGAGACACATATTCACTTCCCGAGCAGGACTCCAAAGCTCCTCTCTGAGGCTCAGCCTGATATTGCTACAATGTTTTCAGGCACCACTGATAATCAGAGAGGTTCTGAATGGCTGCCAATGGGATTCTAAGCAAAGAAAAGCAGTCATTAACTATGGCCCAATTGATGGTGGGGACCAAGCTACAGCATGTACTCTGGCCTCCGTGTTTACCTGCTCCTGGGAAACCTGCACAGTGTTACGGAAAACCGTCCAGAGCACAGTGGGGCTGCACGGTGGGGTGGTCAGGGACCCCTCGTAGCGGTAGTACTCAGCAGGCTTCTCAGGAAGCAGCTCCTCAATGTTGAAGCCTGGGATGCGTACCTGTTGACCTGGGGGGACATTGAGGGAGGGGCAGGTCATCCTCACTCCCTGTGGCAGCCACACGTGTAGCTGAGGGAGCCCATGTCATGATGCATTCGCCTTTTTCTAGGTCACCCACCTGCAGTCCTGTTGCACACAGTTCAGCAACCCGAGGCCCTTACCTTGGAGAATGCTAGCAGCACCCACCCCTTGTATTGTTGGCGCAGGTGTGACTGCTCTAACATGGAACAGGCATCCAGGGACCCCTCACCTTTATATTTCACATGTTGAAGGTGACTGAAGATCTTGTCATATGATGGATTGAATGAGCCCCTCTGCAACAGAGATTGGGAGGTTGAGCTGGAATAGAACCCTGTAGGCCAAGCCTGGACTGCTAGTTGGTGTCCACAGGGCTGGGCTGGAGGTAACACCATCACCCTGAGGTCCTCTTGGAGGGCCCAGCTGACTTAGGATGACTGTGAGTCATGAAGTCTCTCGGAATTAGTGTAATGGCCTTTCCTTCGTGTGTCAACAGACGTCCTCTTTTCGTGGAAGGTATTCACGTAGGGCTCAGGGTATATGGGGCTAGCATGTCTATCTAACTCTGACCGCTAGGGGGTTCTGAGGTCCCAAAAGCCAAGCCAGAGAAGGAAGTATATTAGGAAATGAAGTATGTGTGGCTTCGTTATGGGTAAAATGAAAGCTAGTCAGAAGTCATCCCATTTGGGGGTTAAAGAAGTCATCCTGGGGTCTCTCTACAAGGTGGGGCTCAGATTCCAGAATTGTAATTGGACCTGGCACCCAATGGAAGACACAGTGATTCCTTTTCTCACAGGGCTTCCCAGCTGGGTGGTTCTATACTCATGCAACAAAAAGCTGAAGATTGGAGCTTGTTTTTCCATGTCACAAAAGACATATCCATATGCATTTCTGCTGCCCAGCCCACATGCTCTGGACAGAGGACACAGCCCATCTTAGCACCAACTCACATGCATAAAACAAAATGCCAAAGCCCAGTCTCATCCCTACTACAAATGTCATGCACATCCCCTTGAACATCTCTTACCTCAAGGAGGACAGCTAGGACGGCAAGACCTCCTGACTGGTTACTGGCGGCGCTGAAGTTAGGATACCGGTCTGAGTTATAATGGACAATGTGCAGCTGCAATGGGAGATAGGAGAAAAGCCACCAGTCATGTGAGCTTTTGCTTCTGAGGAAACTTGAAGCTAGCTGGGAAGAAAGATTGCATTCTTCCCTGCCTCAACAGAAATGCCTCTCCCCTCCTGGTACCCCCAGCATTCCTGTTACCCTCAGTCCTGTCCAAAGTGCAAATGTCACCAGGGCCTTCACTGGCCTTCAAAAGAAATTTTATTAGTAGATAGATGTATACACACACACACACACACACACACACACACACACACACACACAGTGTCTCATGCATTTTTATTGAGGTTTCCCTGAGACTGAAACATTGAGGTTTTTATGACTGTATCTTTTTTTCTTTCGTTCCTTTTTCCATTTATGTATCTGTAAGTAGAATTCAATAATGTTTTTTGATTACAGGGCTACCTTACCCACCTATTGGGTCCCAGAGTCATAGGGTGCCTGTGAATGCTACGTATCCCACAGACATGATTACAGGTGGTTGGATGGGTGGATGGGTAGTTATTCATATTAACCACAAAAAAGCCTAGAAACTTTGGAGCTCTTCTCTCTTCTGATTTTCCTATTTATTCTGGAGCCTGGGGCAAAGTGTGACAGCTTCAAGCTTGGCCTTTGCACTTGATCTGAAAGCACTGGGGTGGAGGTGGGGGGCTGGAAAGCTCCAGGGGTAACTGAAGGATCCACAGGGGATGAACATGTTTATACATTAGAGGGAGCAAGTTACAACATGGCTTTTTAAAGGGTTTCATCAGCCATGTTTGAAGAGGCCACAAAATGAGACTCTTAATATTTACAAAATAAAATTCTCAAATTATTCCTTCTCAGGGCAAAAACAAATTACTTGTCACTATTAAAGTAAGGAAAAGTGAAGTTTTTGAAAATTTTTGGGGTTAAGAAGTCTATCTGGGGATATAGCTCAGCAGCATAGCACCTGCCTGGCAAGTGGGAGGTTGCGAGTTTGATTTCTGGTATAAAAGGAAAATGTCTAGGAACCTGGGCATGGTGGTGCACACCTGTAATCCCAACACTCAAGAAGCTGAAGGCTCACTATGAGTTCGAGCCCAGCCTTGGGCTACATAGTTGAAGGCCAGCCTTAACTACATAGTGAGACATTGTCTCAAAAACATGAAACAACTAACTAACTAACTAACTAACAACAACAAATCCAGGTAAATAAAATATTAAAACCATTGTTGTGACAAATTCTGATGTTTAGCCTGACCTATGGGAGTTTCCTTGGTTTTTTTTTTTTTTTTTTTTTTTTTTTTTTTTGAGACAGGGAGGGTCTCAATGTATATTGTAAGCTGTCTTTGAACTCATTATGTAGCCCAATCTGAGTGTGAACTCATGGTGATCCTCCTACCTCAGCCTCCCCAGTACTGGGATTATAGGTGTGTGCTACCATACCTGGCTAGTCTAATTTAACTCTACAGGTGTTACTGCCTGGCCTTCAAAAAATCTTTATTAGTAGATATATATAACATGCATATATATATACGCATATATATAAAACATGCATTTTTATTGAGGGTCCCCTGAGACTGAAACATTGAGGTTTTTATCACTGTATGTTTTTTTTCATTCCTTTTTTCATTTATGTATCTGTAAATAGAATTCAGTAATGTTTATTGACTACGGTTTAATGTCCCCATTTGAACTTTTAAGTGGCCCTCTCGGATGTTTAAAACTGTATCAAATTATTTCTTCTTTCAAGGAGTCCTCTATTAGAAATTTTTTTTCTTTTTCCTTTTTATCGGTACCGGGGATCAAACTCATGACTGCCTGCTTCCAAGGCAGGTGCTTATGCCACTGAGCTAAACCTCCAGCCCCCTATTAGAAATTTCTTAGTGATCCCTGCTTCACCTCCTTTTGCCCTAAAGGAAACAGCCTGTCACATTGCCCATAGATGTGGCCTGGCATGAATTTGAGACATAGCAGGATTCTAAATGCCTAATATTCCATGGTTCTGGGTCCTTGTTTCTTTTTATTGATGATCTTTGAACTTGTGGCCTTGTCTGAGTACTTTTCTTAATGTATTAAGATAAATGAAAAGGCATTCCCTACTGAGAGATTTAAAAGTCTTCTTTTAAAATCTATCCAGAAGACCCACTATTTTCAGACTTTCTCTAGAGAATCTGCCACTTAGGATCACTCTGATGTCTTGTATCAGCATTATGGTGCTTCTTCACTAGGCTGTTGGTCTAGTGATGTGTCTTAATGGCAGAAGATACAGTGAGTAGAATTATTTTTAAATGGATAAGCCCTGTAACCTACATGCTAACTCCGTTGGTCCTCACAAGAGAAAAAGAAGTCTCAACGCTGCCCTTAGCCTGGAAGAAATTTCAGTTCTTGAGCTTCAGGGAAGGGCCTGCTGTGAACTATGAGACCTTCTGGTAGTGCTGACCTATTGGGCCAGGATCAGGTGCCCTCCATGCTTGTAACCAGACCTGTGCTTAGCCTGAGGCATTAAGCAGTTCAGCAGTTAAAGGAGAATGGTCACCCCAGTGTGTACCATGCACTCCCCTGGCTGATCGACAGCATTTGTCTCCTTTTATTTATTTCCTGGTAAACATTCAGAACCACATATCCAGCTCATTGCTACAGGAGCAACAAAATGGAGCAACTCAGTGCCCTCCTGTCTCATGTGCCTATGGTATGGGGAAAAATTGTTCTGTGTCTCTTCTCTTTTTCTCTAGCATTTTGGGTTGGTGGCTCAGGATGACATGGCAAAGTTCTGTGCTGACATCTCAAAAGACCTCAGTGAGTCTCTGATTGTCATGATGTCTCACACATTACAGTGCCAGTCGTTCCTTAATTTGTGGCCAAGGAGAAGAGTGGCCCTGTATCTGCCATCCCCTGTTCACAGGCATGACTCATGTCTCAGGGGAGAAAAAAATGGGATGGAAAGACATTTGTAACCAGCATGACATGTGAAGAAAGACTGAAGCTGGAGGGAAGTGGTGAATTCTCTGTGGATCAGCATGAGATGCATCAGCCAGGCAAGAGACGAGATCTCCACCGGCACAGAGAGGACGCTGTCTGGAAAGGGAGTACATACATCCCACTGTGCCATTCTGGGAACCCGGCCTTCTCAGTTGCATCACTCAGTGAAAGATAGAGACCAACTCAGCATGTTCTGGGGATGAGAGGCCCAGGGACCCAGCAGATAAACTGTAGGCTGGCCAGAACAGCTGGTATGTGCCAGACTCTGCAAGTAGTACCCCCTCATCTTACCTACTCACCAGCTAGATGGAGGGGCTGCCTGGCCACTCCGTAGGTAGCCTCTACCAAACTCTCTGTCCACTCACCTCAGCAGCGAAGTGCTTCCCACTGATGGTATGTTCAGACCCAAAGGGCTCCTTGCTGTCCCCCCAGTGCAGGTGCAATTGTATGGCGCGGTATCGGTGGGAGTCAAGGCCCTGGATGTACATGTCTGGGTGCAGGTACAGCTTCACTGTGGGGTATAGAGGAGATGCATTCAGAACCCTGGCCAGCAGAGTGCTGTGAGAGGAACTGGGTAGGCAACCTTGCCCAGGCTCCAAACGCAGGGCAGGTGGCTGCAGCGAGGTGTGGACCTGCAGGTCAGAAAGCTGGTTGCTCACCGAGGGCATCCCCGTAGCCCAGAGCAACTCCAGTGGCACCAGCACCTTCACAGTTCTCTTTGGAAAATGAAGCTGTATGTACTACTATTAACTAGGCCATTGATAGATGTGTGTTTACATATCCACGTATCAGAACCCTGAACATGGAGAAAGAACTTCCCAAGCTTTAGAATTCTATAACAACAGCAGCCATAATAATTGATATTTATGAAACACTTATAGTACCCCAGATCCCGACACACTTAATCTCCAGACATCATAGTGCTCATAACTATGTCCATTTTCCAGATGAAAACTCAAGGACATTAAAATTCATGCTCAGAGTCTGATAGATCATAAACGGCAACCAAGATTCAAAATCCAGGTTTTCTTGACGCTAAAGCCTGGGTGCCCCCTCCCCTCCCGGCAGCTGAACTGCATGGTCCTGCAAGTAGTTAAGATAATCGAGAATTCTTTCTTGCGAAGCAGCCAACGGTGCCAGAAATTCCTCCCCCATCCTGAGAGATGTGATCTTTGGCAGCATCACCTCAGCATGCTCAGAGTTCCCCCTACTTAGCTCCTGCTGGCTGCCTCAGGAAGCCAGGGGAAACCCAGAACACCCCTCAGGTGTCTCACCTGAATGGCCATTATTGGTTAGGTTCAGCAGTTCACTGGAAGACACATTGTAACCTTGGAACTCAAGGGGCCCCAGGTTTGCGTTGTACTGAAGGATGTCACTGTGCAGGTCTATGGGAGACTGCAGCAGGCCCCCACAGGATGGGTACTTCTTGGACCAGCTCTTCTCCCCATTAGGACCTGGAAGGAGAGATTCAGGGGCATGGTTTTGTCCCTTTTCTAAAAGGTGTTTCCTCACCTTCTAATTCTACATTCAACACAATTACTGCTTTTCTTTTTTTTTTTTTTTAATTTGTTTTTTGTTTGTTTGTTGTTGTTGTTGTTTGTCTTTTTCCTTTTTATCGGTACCGGGGATCGAACTCATGACTGCCTGCTTGCAAGGCAGGCGCTTATGCCACTGAGCTAAATCTCCAGCCCCCAATTACTGCTTTTCTCCTCTTAATCTTTAGAGCAAACTTTTTCAGACCCAAAGATCCCAGGCTACAGAATCGGGTCCAGCAAATACCTTAGGACCACTTGCCATAAAAGCAATGTGGGGAGTGAAGGAATCTGTTAGCCCTAGAGTTCTCTAGTAGCTCATGCCAGAAACTAGAACTCCCCAAATTGTATTCTGTACACAGTGCATGGACTCCCCACTTGGTGACTGTGGACTTTAGCAATTTATCTTCTGCTTAGTGAGCTCCTAGAGTCATCCAGGAATTGCTCTGAGTCTTGGGGCTGTCAGTTAAACACCACAGGGCCCATGCTCACCCATGCTGGCCTTCTAGGGAATCTACTGGGCTGTGCCTGGCTGCAAAACTGGAGTCTGACTGAATGCAGCTCCTGGTAGGTCTTTCAGGCTGGAGGATTTTCAGATAGGATCTCCCTGACAGGAAAACCTGGAGGCCACTGACTCTATCACATTGAGAGTACAAAACCCAGCCTGATAGGGAAGCTTGAAAAATGTCAGTTATCTGGAAGCACAGAGCTAAATGCAGGGTTCTCACTAGGGAGAAGTATGACAGTATATGAACTAATTATTAAATGTAATCGACAGACTGTCAGTGAGAAAGAATAGATTTAAAAGCCAAAATCCTCCAAGGCTCGAGCTTCTGCTAACTACCAGATAGTCATTCCTCTGGAAATGAAAACAAACATTCCATGTTCAGATAAGCTATTCTGCTCCCACAGGGAAAAAATCTTTAAAGAATGTAAAACTATCTTTAAAAGCTTATTTCCCATGGTAATTAAACCATGGTTGAGGTTTCTCCTGAAAAGCAAATAATCAGTGTGTTGAGTTTGAAAATAGTGCCCGGTGGCCTGTATCAGAGTTGGTATCAAACTTTGCCACCTGGGGCCCAATAGGATGGGGCGCAGGGTAGGATGGCATCTAGAATAAAGGGGAAAGAGACTCTTCCGGGGATCCTTCCCCCACAGACAATGGCACTGCTTCCCAATGTGAGGGGAGCCTGCCTCTATGGAATCTTGACCCCATGCATGTTTTCTAAATAGGAGAATTCATTTAGAATGGATAGAGTCAGAAATAATACTTGGGGGAAAAAATACATGGTGCTCTTGTTCATTTAAAGTGCTGTGAACAGTTGGTCCCAGGTTTAGTTTTTCCAGGGCTGGATACCCAGCAGGACTCTTATTAAATTTTCAGGCTGTCCAACTTTACATGTACCTTTTTGGAAACATTAGAGCCTCAAGGGATTTCAGAGTTCCAGGCTGACCTTTCCCTGGATACCAGTTTCCTTTCTTATGTGTGCTATAGCCATGGCCTCCAAGTGCCAGACTCAAACCAACTCGGCTACACCCAGATGATGGCCCAGGGAGAGGGGAGGCCGAGGAGACGCAAGCAGTCAGTCACTGAAGAGCCAAGGTGGAGAAAGATAATTACTCAGCCAGAAGCAGCTCTAGGGGCAGCGGGAAGCACAAATAAGCCACCATGAGACATGGTGCTAGCCAGGAGTCAGGAAGGAACACAGTATGGGTGGTAGGGCATTCCAAGTGAGGCTGCCAGCTTTTCTGTGCTCACAGCACTGCTTGGGCCCACTTTTTGGGTGGTAAAGCTTCAGTCAGGCACGAACAGAAAACTCAGGAAGTCAAGAGATGGAGCAATGAGACTTTTTACATATACACCTAAAAAGGAACTGGGTTAGAAGGGTTTTCTTTTCCAGAGTGGAAGTCCAAATGGGTTTTATTAAGAGGGTGCTTCTGTAGTGCTTACACAAGAATTCTCTCCAGCTTTCTAAGTCCAGGTTGTGAGCATGGTTGCATGCCTAACAGGATTTAGTAAATACTTTTAGAGAGCTTGAGAAAAGATTTCTGGGAGGAATAATTCTTTGTAATCATGCCCCAAATACTGTTTATTGGAAGATAGGACCAATAAACTGTTTATAGGAAGGTAGGGCCAAATGAGGGTACTTGGAGGGAGGAAAGACTAAGGATATTAAAGACAGAAAAGGCAATTTTGGTAAAATCTCCCTCAGAAAGAGAAGCAGCTCTAGGACTAGAAGAATTCAAAAAACAAGATTGCAGTGCTGGCTGTCCCACCATCTCCATGTAAGACCTCGAGCAGATCAGGTTTCCAGCAGAAGCCTCCACTGCCTGTGGCATATACGGGAGGGCTAAGCACTGTGATGTGTTTCAGGAGGTCCCTCGGGCTATCCACCTCTGAGATTTATTAGGTTGTCAGGACTAAGTGCCTTCACCCTCTGTGCCTGGTGAGTTTGAATGAGTTGAGAGTTGATCATGCCAAGGCAGCTCCTGTCCTGTGATGAGGTGCCCAGTGGAAATTGGCTTTAGGATTGAAGGCATGGGACCCTGGTACCCCTGGGCTGGTCGGGGAGTGGACAGAGCACTGTATCAGGAACCTGCCCCAGTCCTGGCCAGTGAGCACCTTGGGATCTAAAATCATAGTCTTTTCTATTCTTCCTCCTGTTTCTTCTTCATCCCCATTTGTCATGATCGCTATTATTGTTATTATTTTAGTAGTTTTGATCCTCAGAGCTGTAGACTCTGTGATATAAGCAAGATGGGAGTTGCCTTATAGATGAGCAGTTGCAAGTTAAATAATTTGTCCAAAGTTAGTACTTGGCTTACCAATAGTTACCTTGCTTGGCTCATAGAAGTTCTGTGTCTTTCTGTTTCATTACTGATCTAGAAGACTTTGTGCATCTGTTTATTCCCTCTCCTGTTTATTCCCTGTCCCTTGGAAGTGAGGACTCTGTCTGATTTGTCTCTGTATTTCCTACCATGCCTGGCATGGAGCAGGCCCTCACATATGGACCAGGTACTTATACTTGCTTTTTGCTTGTTCTTTTTAAGGAAGCAGGCGCTCACTTCAAATCCTTCATATATTATTTCCTTTCCAAAAAACAGGGAGAAAATGGGATTGTTTGCAAAGACTCAGAATGTATCCACCCAGCTTACTTGTAGGAGGACTGGTTCTGTCTGGGACCATTTGTGGAAAAGGTACCTGATTTCTGCTCTGGAGTCTGGGAGGTGGCCTGCCAGCCAGGTAGCTTCTTAGAGTCCTGCATATGATGGCTCTTGTCCCCTTCTCCAACAGCTGGGTACATTGTCAGAGCAACCTCCTATCTTTGTGGCTTGTAGGTTAGAGGTGCCATGGGACAGATACTAGGACAACCAATATCAAGGGTACAGCGGCAGACTCTGTCTGGTCCACGTGTGGCTTGTGGCCACAATAGGTCCAGCTCTGTTGGCAGCTACACCACTGCAGAATTTTAAACAAATTTCAGCTTTGATATGTGCCAAGGGCTTTGCTGCCAGGAAATCTTGTAAAGAATAACTTCTCAGAGCACTTGTTGACTCCCAGTGACTCTAAACACCTGGCTTTGCTTTCTTTGGGCTTTGATTTTACTTCTTAAATTGGCTGGCTTCTTCCCAGGAACATGACAAAGGAGATCATGTGTATCTCACTGTTTGTTTTCCCCCATAAAATCAAGATATTATTTCTTTCCAGTTCACGAATTTTCCTGCTCTAGCAAAAAGCACAGTAAATAGATTTCCTGTTTTGAAATGTAACAAGGGATTGTACAAGGCACAGTTTAAAATGTCTCGTGATTTCTAACTATGAATTACAAGGCTCTGGGGTGCAGGAGTTGTATTAGCCAAAGTCTAGCATCTTTTTTTAAAATTTCAACTGAATAGAGGAACGAAGTGAACCCTATATGATCCAGCTTGGACAATTTACGAGTCACGGCTAGTCATGCTTCCCTCTTCACCATCTACCTGGATAACTCTGAAACAAACCTAGCTATATTTCATCTGTGCATGCATCAGTATGTATTTCTAAAACATGACTAGATACAAAATCACAGTATCAATACTTTAGTATTATCGAACCCAGTCAGCATTTGCATTTTTCCAAATAGGTCATAACCTTTTACTATTTTATTTGTAGAATTTAGGGTTCAAGAACTGCAAACAGTTCATGTGTCAGTGCCCAGATTACTGTTGGTTGGTGCAGTGCCTCATCAGATTGTAACTGGATCCTGTGCCCACAACACTGAGAATTTCAGAGCCAGGCCAGTGGCTCTGGCCACAGTTGGCAGTGGAGTCCCAGATTTATAGCACCACCTCCACCCTGGGTGAGGCCTTCACAGTGTTTCTGCAGGTGACGCAGCCTCAGCTCTTCTCAGCTGCCACGCTCACTCTCCTGTTGTAACCAGACCGATCAGGTGGTGGCCCTGCTTCTGGCGCTGCCCACTGAAACACTCCCTTCCTCTCCAGCACATCTGCCCCGTCTCAACAAGACAAAGCAGAACGTGGATGTATTTCCTGGCCTCACAATGCGCAAACTGCCAAGGACTTCAAAGGCCTTTACACTCCTCCCAACCCATGCCCTGGCCAGGTCTGTTTCTTAGCCCCAGAAGAGGCCACACCTGTCAATCTGAACCAACATGCTTAGGTTAAAAATCTCCTTGAAATGCTTTCCTTTCTTCCCTTTCCAAGTCTCATCCATTTTTCAAAGTCTAGCTCAGGTCCTTCCACAGGTGTCCCAGTCCCTCTCCTCCAGGCACAACCAAGTCAGCCTACCCAGAGTTCCTGCAGTAGCACAGTGATTCAACCCTTCACTTGCCTGGCTCACCTCTAACTACTATCTCCCATTCCATTATGGGCACATAAGCCTATTCCAGATTAGAAGTCCGTTGACAAGGACACAGGAGATAGAAGAGAATAACCCTGAGAGACAGTGAGGGTGGAGGCCGATCCAGCAGGCAGAGGTCAAAATTAATCCCAGGCTGAAGGAGGCACCCAGGGAATTTTTGCTGAATGCTGCAGACCAACCACTGTAGCCTTCCTATAAATGAAATCCCATATAGTTTAAAAAACAAGGACTGGGGATTTAGCTAGAGGTTCAAGCACTTGCCTGGTAAGTGCGAAGTCATGAGTTTGATCCCTGGTACAAAACAAACAAACAACCCCACTCTGAAACCCTGGAACTCAGCAAGCTGCAAAGGAGAGCAGAGAAGAGTTAGCTATGCGAAGACATAAATGCCTCCCATTCTGAGATGTGTGTAGTACATCAAGGAGCCTAAAACAGTTAATGTGTATTCTAAAAAGGCAAATGCTCAGGTTTTTCTTAGTAGGCTGTCTTATTTTAAAATTTAATCACAGATATTTCAAAACAGGCATGCAATGGTGGTACATATTCATCTTTTCATGTCTACTCTTAGGTTCAGTCCTAATCCTTCTCCATCCATTTCCTCTCCCCTGGATTATTTAGAAGAAACTCTACTATTGCTTATGTATCACAAAAGATCAAGGTTTTTAAAAAAGCATAAGTTCACATGCAAAACTGTCCATTCCTTAATGTCACCAGATACTTTTTCAAATTTCCCTCATTGTCTCATAAATCTGTTTGAACAGTTTGTTTGAATGAATGTCCAAATCAGGTCTCTGTATGTGACTAGTTGATGTACCTTTAATTTTTTTATTAGAAATTTTCCCTCCCATCTTTCTCTAATACAGATGCTTAAGTCTGTACATACATGTAGACAGACTCAGCTTCGCCTCCAGCAAATAATTTATGCAAATAAATAAAGGATAATTTAATTTATGTTATAACCTGTTTGCAGACAAGGTATTGGGGTAAGTAAAAATTTTATGGATTAAGTAATTGCTTATATTTATACATCTAGTGTATATATATGTATTTTTTTGGTTCTGAGAATTGAATTCATGACCTTGGGCTAGCCAGGCAGGCACTGTGCTGCTGAGCTATATTCCTGGCCTTTAATACATATACTTTATATATTAATAATAAAAAATCAGTTCCTTTGAAAACAAGAAGTATATAATTGCTGATACAATTTAATTACTGTTTCTCACTGCATTCAGTATAGTCAAGATTTTAAAAATTAATGAAAATACATATCGTGAGTGACTTGTATAGAGTCTGATAGAGTTTGGACCAACTATAATAACAGCAAAAATGTGCATTATTTTCATTCAATCGAGGTTGGCCTCTGCGGCCTTTTTAGGTTGGTACCTCAGACCTGCCTGCGGCTCCCTAGAATTTCTTGGTGACCACACTGTCTTAGTTAGAAGCCCTTGGTCACTGTGTGAATGCTTCATGGCAGGCAGCTATTCCCTTTTGGTCTGGCAACCCAGTCACATCAGAACTTGCCCCAACGGGGAAAGTGTAGCGGTAAGGCAGACACATTCTAGATGTTGGCACATCTTACCAGTACAATAAAAGCTTTTGGTTAGTCCCTCAAAAGCAGTGAGTTTGTTTTCTACAGAGATCTGACCATAGTAAAACTGTGCCTTGTCTTGGCAGGTATATGGGTATTTATATGAAAGTGATCCAAGATTGTGTACCAATTTTGAATGCACAGCAATGAAAACTGAGTAGGGGAAAGTCTCTAAGAAATACTCTCTTTGAAGTGCTACTTAATTTTGAAGTTCATTAATTTCTTCAACAAATATGCCTTGAGTGTGTCAGGTACCTGATGCCATGGTGAATACAGTGGGGCACAAAACTGACCTTGTCTCTTGTTTTATGGAGCTCATACAGTAGGGAAGAGACTGATAATTACAAATGAGACAATAAATAAGCTGATACACAAAATAATAGCACAAAACTGTCCTTGTCTCTTGTTTTATGGAGCTTATACAGTAGGGAAGAGACTGATAATTACAAATGAGACAATAAGTAAGCTGATACACAAAATAATAGCAGTCTGCAAGGACTGAGGAAAACAGAGAGACCACTCTTAGGTGGTGTTAAGGGCAGGCTTCCTGGAGAAGGCCCTGTCAAAGTTGAGACTTAAAGGATGGAACAGAAATCCTACCAGTAACCGCAAGGAACAGCTTTCCAGGTGCTGGCGCCAGGGAGCTCTGAGGCTGTGCTACAGCTGATAGCTGGTGTGTTTCAGGAGTATGTGAGGCAGCAGATGGAGTGTGGGGCCCAGCTGGCTTCCCTGACCATTGCTGGACGCCCCTCCACCACACAGCGAAGCAGGAATCCTACAGCACCTGCTCATGTATGTTCCTCCACCTGCCGGAAAGTGTTGCTTGTAGGGAACTGGTGCCTGCTCATCTGGCCTGGTCCTGGAGTTGGAACCACAGAGAGCCCAGCTAAGCCACAGGAGCCTGTTCATAGGGGAAGGCAGCCTTCACATCTCCTCTGAATCCATCTCAGAACCATGCATCCTCAGGGTGTGGTTTGTCTATAGAAGCCATATTTTATACTTAATATATCCTTAAAATATATGTATAGCTCCTGCGGTTTATTTCAAAAATTGATTTAAAATTATATGGCTTCTCATAAATATCCATTGGGTTCAGCAGGTCAGGGGGATGGAGTTCCCATAGCATTCTCCTGGCTCAATTCGGATCCCTGAGTCACAGTCTCCTGACTCTGCCTGTCTTCCTCCCTTCCCCCAGGAAGCAGAGGCAGAGCCCTGAAGCCCTAGAATCTGCCCAGATGGGAAGAGGCCCCAGGGCTGTTGGTTAATTATTGATGGGTGAGGTCTTACGGTCATACTATTTACAAACAGAGGTCAAGGTATCATACTGGCACCAGAGCTTTTCCTCTGTTAATGTTACAAGTGACTCAGGCCTGGGCCCCTGCAAGAAGCCAGGACATAACAGTTAGGGTTAGAAAGCTTGAAGTGCACTGCCAGGCCTCCTCCTTGTCCTTGCGTTTTATATTACAGATCAATTAAATTGGATGAGTTTTCTAAAGATGCTTTATATCAAGATTTTCTCTTTAACATTTCAGTTGTTTGTGCCATCATTTCTGGCTCAGCCTCAGTGAAGGGGGCCAGGGTGCAGGCAGAGAAGGGGAACCCAGTGCAGAGGTCTCCTCTGCCTCTAGGAAGCTCTTCCCCTCCACCCTCCTGTGTCCTCTTCCCAGGAACCCTCTCCAGCATTGCTGGGGCAGGGGCAGGGACTCCTCAGGCAGGGACACTCTGGCCTCCAGACCTTCCTAGGAAAAAAGTGTTTATAAGGAGAGGATGAATCTCCAGACTGCCAGAGGTTTGCTTTGCTACTCCATCTCAGCTATTCTCTTGGGTCCTCATGCATGACCTGTTGCCTTGCAGGCTGCTCCTCATGGAGAAGCATGGCCCACCTCCTGGACTGTTATGTGCCTGCTCCCCCTGTCCCTTTTTTTCCAGTGAACAGGATGGCGTGCATTCTGCAGAGTACCAACTCACTTCTCAAGGTGCTTCCTTCCCTCTCCTCTGTGCTCTTAGAGCCCTAGGTGTTCTCTCCCTGCAGCCAACATTTACCATCATAATACTTAGTCCTTTTACCTCAGTGGTCTAGTAGTTCTCACAAAGTCTGGTCCCCAGACAAGTGTCATAGTTATCATCCAGGAACTCATTAGAAATGCAGATTCTCAGGCCCAACCCAGACCTGTTGAACCAGATTGTGGGAACGATGCCTAGCATCTGTCTTTGAACTCAGGTGCTCTGTGCCTGCTCCCAACTGAGGGCTGAGAATACTGTGCCTGATGGCAGCCTGCTCTGTTCACTCTTATATGTATGATTGCTGCTTCTGAGGCTGGCACTCTGAACGCTCAGCAAATGCTTCTTGCACTAAGTGACAAAAGCAACAAGCTGTGAACAAGTTAAACAAGTTGCTAATATGGTAACAGCCTTGCCCCAAGAAATGGTGCTTCTTCTTATCTGTTTTGTCTCATTGACAAAGGAATTGTTCTACATGGAAAAATGCCGAGTCTATAACTGAGCTCTGTGGCCGGGGCACTGGCTGTCTCTTACGGTGTTAAAAATAGGGGGCTCCCAATTAGGCGAGGACCAGTAACCTCTGATCAGAAAGGATTGAAGAGACCACAGTTTAATGCATGGTTACGTGTGTGACATAGCTTACATATTCCACAGTCTCTTACAAGAGAAATGCAAAGTATAAATAAAAGTAAAATAAAAGATAGATCATTGGGACCAAGCGATGCAGGAATTAGGAGAGGAGGGGAAGGGAATTAAGAAAGACTTAAGACGTGCTATGTATCTGTGCTAATTCTGCCTGATGAATATAGTCATTATGAGCTGCAAACATGTACTAACACAATGCCCCTAAAATATATGTTTGGGGTAATTTTAGTGACAGCTGGGAATGTTAATTTCCTTTCTTATCCTGTTTACATAACTCAGATCACTTCCTTAACCTTTTTATAAAAAACTGTGGCAAAATATGTAAAAGACAGCTTTTTCTCTCCACCATAGATTGCTTGTAGAACCACAAACATAGTTTGGTTGTTCCTCAAGTTAAACAGAAAATCAGCATGTGACCCTGAGCAAGTCTAGTCCCATGTATATGCCCAAAAGAATGGAAAGCAGGGACTCAGATATTTTGTATACTATGTTCCTGACCACATCATTCATATTAACCAGTAGTAAGAACCCATGTCCATTAACACATGAATAGATAAGCAAAATGAGGTGTCATTAACAGACAATTCAGCCAGTCAGCTGTAAAAAGGGATTCTTTTTAAAAAATGCACAACTTTTTGTCTAACCATCTGACCCATTGTGCTTGAGAATGATAAGATTGTGATGTAACAGACAAAGAAAGCAAAAAGAGAGCCCTCTATTGTGGACACAGGAAGGCTGCAAAAGAGAAGCAAGCACTGTTGGGTGGGAACAAAGAAGTGGAAGGACTTTTATCAGGTCTGGCTGGGGGAGGAGTTCGGAGGGGCACAATGACACAGAACGGCTGATTTGAAGGAGCTTGTGTCTGCACAAAGCAGGAAGCAGAAGGATTTACTAGGCGCTGAGGGTAAAGTGCTTTGTGGAGTCTTGGTATTGGAGAGGGCTTGGTGCATGTGCAAAAAGGGAGCGGGAGGTTTATTTCTGGAACTAGACGGAGAATGTGGAAGTTACTCTTGGAGAGGAGTCACTTCTCTGGGGCAAGTACCCAGTTGGGCGGATGTCATGTTAGAGATTGCTGAGCCTTGGGCTGGCAGGCTCTATCAGAGAACAGG